CGGAGGAATGGGGCAAGGCCAAGAAATGTTGATCGTCTCTAGAAGCTATAAAAGGGGAAGAAACAGATTCTCCCCTAAAAGCTCCAGAAGGAATGTAGTCCTGCCAACACATCTTGATTTTAGCCCAGTAAGACTTATTGCTGATTTCTGAACTCCAGAAATGTAAATTAATGAAATTGTATTGTTTTAAGTCACCAAATTTGTGGTAATTTGTTACAGCAACAATAGGAAACTAATGCTAAAAATTCTAAAGTGTTAAAGCTACCAAGAAAATATTTTATCACTAAAATCAGTAGATTGAGTTCTCTTTTGGAGAGGGAAGAGGTTATGATCAGCAAGTGGTATTGGAGCTTCTAGGATGCTGCAATATTTTCTTTATTTGAACGCATATAGGTTTTATGTAGTCCTTTACACTTACGAAGTTAGCATCATTGCTTTTATAACCAGAAAAAGAATTTTAAGAATAATACACACTCACATTTTTTTAAAACTGAAGGTTATTTCTTAAAGGCTTTTAAAATTTATTAATTAATTAATAATTAATTTATGACAGAGAAAGAGAGAGAGAGAGAGTGCACAAGTTGGGGTAAGGGCAGAGGGAGAGAATCTTCGAGCAGACTCCCACTGAGTGATCTCACAACCCATGAGATCATGACCTGAGCTGAAACTAAGAGTCAAAACCTTAACCAAGTGAGCCACCCAAGCATCCCTAAAGGCTTTTTTAAATCACATTTCTTTAACTATAAAATTATTTCTTCCTTGAGGGAATATGCAAAAAATATTTTTTATTAAACCATTAGTACTTTGCAATAGTTTCCATAATATGATCAATGACCTAAATGATTCTTTCATGAATTTATAGCATGTAAAAGTATTACTCAGTTAACATAAGGAAGAAGCTACTTGTTTTCCCAAATTGAAATAAAAATACAATTTAAATAGAAGAACTTAAGAATCCTTATCCAAAACTCTGGTTTCAAAAATAGATTATGCCTTAAATTTGCTAAATATTAAAAAATTAAAGAATACCCATTTATTGAAGTGCATCTCAGCCTAGTGTATATCTTGCTGTTTTTTTTTCTGTGCTTAATATGGGTATTAAAAATGGAAGTTATTTCATTTTTCTGGATTTTAAGTAATTTAAAGATTGATGATTGATTTGAGAGAGAGAGTGCATGCATATGAGCAGGGGAGAATCAGAAGCAGACTCAGCAGACTCTCCATTGAGCATGACATGGCTCTGTCCCAGGACCTGGAGATCACAACCCCAGCCAAAGGCAGACTCTTAACACTTGATGGGCTGAGCCACCGAGGTCCACCTGGATTTTAAGTAATTTAGTCTATAATAAAAATTTTAAGCAAACTGACTTTAAATAATAATCCCTGCTTAATTTTTTTTTTTAAGATTTCATTTTATTTATTCATGAGAGACACACACACAGAGAGGCAGAGACACAGGCAGAGGGAGAAGCAGGCTCCATGCAGGGAGGCTGACGTGAGACACGATCCCAGGTCTCCAGGATCACACCCCAGGCCGAAGGTGGCACTAAACCACTGAGCCACTGGGGCTGCCCCCCTCCTTAAATTTAATTTGTAACATGAAGCTGACCTTTCGGAGGGTTAAGTTTAAATTTAAATAAGTAGCAGTTTGCAGCGAATTTCTTTCATTTCTTCAACCTTAGTTTTAAAGTATATTTATTTAAGTGTTCTCTACAACCAATGTGAGCTCAGACTCAAGACCCTGAGATCAAGAGTCACATGCTCCAACCGAGCCAGCCAGGCACACCTCATTTCTTCAACTTTAAAAGTTATACCAGTATAATTTAAACATTGATAAAATTGATAAAAAATAACTCTTGTTGCATTTAGTATGAAAGAAACTGTTTATAGTGTGATTCTATAGGAAATTTTTAGTCTTAAGTACTTGATGATCTCTGTTAACCAGGGCTTTAACTTTTTCCTAATAAATACAATATGGAGAGGCATTTTGGCAAGATGGTGATCTGTTTCCCAACTTCAGTTACTAACTACCACTTCATAGTGAAACAACTCTGAGGATTGCAAGCTCAAGGGGCCTCGAGGTAATAATGTGAGTTTGGGGAATATACTGTGATCCAAATGAAATAAGAGGCAAAAGCCTTTGGGGCAATTATAAAAATTTTTGAGTTTTCAAAAAGAACTGTTCCCCTAAGTAGAAGCTTACTTTCAGTGCATTTTAGAGATTACTTGTGCTATTTTGATAGCACATTTTGATATTTTGATAGCTATTTTGATAACTGCCTTTCAAAGACTTTAGTAGCTTGAAGAATGAGCTCCTAAGGATGAGGCAAGCCATGAACGGACAAAGGAAAATAATTCGCTTAAAGGAACTCCAGCAGCCAGAGACAGGATGAACAAGGATTGCATCTAGAACAAGTGACTTCAGTGAAATAGAACAAAAATAGAAACTGGAAGAGATAGATGACAGATTTAACAGGCAAAACAAAATAAATTATCTTAGATTTTCAAGAGAAACAAAGAGGCACTCTAATCAAACTATATAAAAAAGGGAGAGCTTTTTTATGTATTAATTTGTGGAAAGGGTGATTAGTGTTGAGACTTAAATTCCTGGTATGGAATGTTAAGTAAAAGAATATACCAAGAGCAGTAGAGTTGGGGGGGGGAGGGTGGATATATATAAATCTTTCTCCTTCCATATATATAGCCACCTATATAGATACATGGAAGGAGAAGCAGCAAGATAGATAGATAGGCCCCAAATGAAGAAGGTAGAACAACAAAGATGTAATAGGGGAGCATTTCTCTGGTTTAAAGAAAGACTAACAGGGCAGCCCCCCATGGCTCGGCGGTTTAGCGCTGCCTTCAGCCTGGGGCATGATCCTGGGGACCCGGGATCTAGTCCCGCATCGCATCCGGCTCCCTGCGTGGACTCTGCTTCTCCCTCTGTCTCTCTCTGTGTGTGTCTCTCATGAATGAATAAATTGTTAAAAAAAAATAAAAATAAAGAAAGACTAACAGAGCCACAGAGTTGACCAGAGTGTTAAGGATGGTGGGGAGACACAAAAAAACCAAGCTGTTTACAAAGGAAAAATCATCAGATATGTGCCGGACTACTCAGTGTGACACTGGAAGCTAAAATAACATCTATAGGTTCCTAAGAAAGGAACTGTGCCTGTACCTAGCCAACTATTATTCAGATGTTATGGTGAAAGCAAGATAGTTGTGGATATGCAGTAATACAGGAAAAGTTTTCCATTAAAGGATTCTCACCAAGTAATTGCCAACAGAGACTTTAAGATAGGGCAGGAGAGAAAACAGTGGTAAGCAAATGAATCTCACAGTATATTTAATGATCTAAATGGATAATGATGGAATGACTATTTCAGCACATTCCTTTGTCTTCTGCCTTTCCTGAAAGTTTGCAAAAGCTTGATTAGATGCAGGTCTGTCCCGCTGGCAAGACCGTGAGGGAGGCATACAATTTCTGATTGTCTTACTTTAAGATAGCCATTTGACTCAGTTCTAGATCCATTAATTCCTTGAAGGTTGCAAAATGCTAACATCATTTTTCATTTATAGCTAGAATACTTAAACAGATGCTTATTTTCATCTGTTTGATTACTCAGTGATACAGTTCATATAGGGAAGGCAAGTTAAATGTTTTCCCCTTTATTAATTTACAAGGTAATGAATTGGTTCTCTATCTTGGGGGAGGGAGGAGGAGATGTCATTATACACTAGTATAATTCAAAATATGTGATGGATTTGAGTCCTTTGCAATTATTATCTTTTTTTGAAGTTCAGATTGCCTCATCTTTGGCCAGTGGAAGCAAAAATCTTTCCTGAATCCTTTTGATGTGACACTGATAATCTTTAACAGTAAAGAAAGGGGCAGTATAGCAGGGTGCCTGGGTGACTTAGTTGGTTAAGCGTCTGCTTTCAGCTCAGGTCATGATCCTTAGGTCCTGGGATCAAGCCCTGTGTCAGACACCCAGCTCAGCAGGGAGTCTGCTTCTCCGTCTCTCACTGACCCTCTTCCCTGCTCATGCTCTCACTTGCTCTTTCTCTCTCAAATGAATAAATAAAAAAGCTTTTAAAAAGGAAGGGGCAGGGATCCCCGGGTGGCGCAGCGGTTTGGCGCCTGCCTTTGGCCCAGGGCGCGATCCTGGAGACCCGGGATCGAATCCCATGCCGGGCTCCCGGTGCATGGAGCCTGCTTCTCCCTCTGCCTATGTCTCTGCCTCTCTCTCTCTCTCTGTGTGTGTGACTATCATAAATAAATAAAAAATTTAAAAAAAAAAAGGAAGGGGCAGGGTTTTTTTTTTTTTTTTTTTTTTTTTTTTTTTTTTAGTTTGGTTTTGCTTTAAAAAAAAAAAAAAAACTCAGAATGGGGCCCCCGGGGTGTCTCAGTGGTTGAGTGTCTGCCTTTGGCTCAGGGCGTGATCCCGGGGTCCGAGGATCGAGTCCCACATCAGACTCCCTGTGAGGAGCCTGCTTCCCCCTCTGCCTGTGTCTCTGCCTCTCTCTCTCTCTCTCTCTCTCTCTCTCTCTCTCTCTCTCTGTCTCATGAATGAATAAATAAAATCTTTAAGAAAATAAATAAATAAAAGTTTTAAAAAACCCTCAGAATGTTGTCTGTGCTTTTGGGAAGGTGGATTTTAGAGATCCATTTGTGTCCTAGGATATTTGATTATGATCTTTGGTGTAATCGTAGACCGATATGCCTTAGAATTTGTGTTACTTGCAAAAAATACTGGTTTTATTTTTTAGGTGTATGTAGATACTCAGAAAGAATCAGTATTCCCCAGCAAGAAGATGGAGAGGTATATGTTAAAATGGTTTTTTCAGTTGATTAATAAATATTTGAATGTTTACTCTGGACCATTCTTCACAATGGGAACTCTTGGGAATTCAAACAATCATGAAACCTGCTTATTTACCTAACATTTCAAAATAAGTTCTAAGGATTGACCTTAAACTTAATTCATTTTTTCTTTCAGATCTGTCACGAAATCGTCTCTCAGAAATTCCCATAGAAGCATGTCATTTCGTTTCTCTTGAGAATCTCAATTTATACCAAAATTGTATTCGGTATATACCAGAGGCAGTTCTAAACCTACAAGCTCTAACATTCTTAAATATTAGGTAAGGATGTTCCTTTTTTTTTTTTTTTTTTTTTTAATTTACGTTCTCTGTTCATATCTGCAGTATCTTATACATGTTCTTAGGCTGAATTAAAAATATTTCCTATATCCTTCTAGTTTCTCCCTTTGTTTTTAGCTTTGCAATAATTAACAGACTGTAAGGGTCATTAGCCTGATAGGCTTGCAGTAGTCTTGTAGCTATGATTCTCCAATTGCATTTTTAAATAAGCTTATCAAATGAGGACAGATCTGAAAGTACTTTCATTCTTGTGATTTTGTATTTTTGTATACTAAGTTCTGAATGTCTAAATGCATTTGTTTGATTCCTTTCTATTTTTTCATATCTTGGAGAACTACTTTTTGGTTTTGGTTTGGTTTTCTTTTTATTATAAAAGTTAAAAATGTTCATTGGAGAAAATGAGCAAATGTAGAAAAGTATAAAGGAAATTCATCAAATGTTGTATATGTTTTAATTTATGGTGATATTTTCCTTTTCTCCAGGCTTTCAGTCAGGTTTTTAAGTTTTTCCCCTTGGCATGAAATACTCTTTGGAAATATTTTATAGTAAATATTTTATTGTACAGTTTATACACTTCTAAAACTCATTTTCCCTCTCACATATTTAGTTTATTCCAGTTTTCTGCCATGATAAAAATTAATACTGGCAGAGACTCTTATATATAAATGTTATTTTTCTCTTAAGGTAAATGTCTAGGAATAGAATTATTACAGATTTAAAAAATTTTAAAGGCTCATGATCTATATTAGTCAAATCAGCAAAAGATCTTGAAAAGGGGGCCAATTGACACTAGAGATTAAAAAGTTAAATCTATATAAGTAAAATTTTAACTTATTTTTTTCCTAATGATAGATGTGTGCTCTTAGTTCTAATTTTGCATGTTTTGTATGAATAAAAGATTTCATACCTATACTCCAGCTGATGTGATATATTTAAAATCAACAACCTGTCACTTATTTTCCACAGAACTATATTTGGTTCATTTATGTACATTTGATTTTAAAGTATGTAAGATGAGGGAAGTAGATTACAACTACTTTTATGTTTATAACTCTTCTTTGGAAGACAAGGAGAGAGGATAATCATCATCTATACTATTTTTAAAATCACTTTATCTTACATAAGATTAACTTTAATGAAATAATATATTGTATTTATGTAGCACATCATTATTTACAAAGGAGTTTTATGGTACAGGGCCCTGTAGGATAGGTGGAGGAAGTTTTAAAATCCTCAATATACAGATAAGGAATCTGTATAAAAAGCAGATAATACTGTGCCTATAACTACAAAGATTTATGATAAGTGAGGAAATGGAGGCTAAAACCCAAATCTTACCCTCTTTGTTCCTTCCAAGACTTAAGTTTGTCACTTTACTGAGTATAGAATAGGAAAGATAGAATTTTTTTCTTGAGTGGTAGCTTCTGACTCTTCTCTTTTTCTATTTACATATTTAGTCGGAACCAATTGTCAACATTGCCAGTGCACTTGTGTAATTTACCATTGAAAGTCTTAATTGCTAGTAACAACAAATTGGTGTCACTTCCAGAAGAAATTGGACATCTCAGACATTTAACAGAACTCGTAAGTTAATGTTTTACTTCTTTATTGTCCCACATGTATATATGTATATCCATGGTCATACCATAGTGTTATGGGGTAAAGACCCATTATTAAGGTACATTTTTGAGTTTTTTTTCAAGTATGGATAGTAAAGTTTTGCTGGTTGATCAGTACTGAGGTGCTTCAGCATGGAGTTAAGAAGAACTGAAAGTACAAGTCTAATAGGCCCACATGGAATGGGAGAAAGTCATTAGAATTAAATTTTAACCAATATTAAGTGATTTCTATGTTATTAAACTTTTGAGATATAAGTTAATAATGCATTAAAAATTTTCAAGTTAAATCTTAATAGCATCAGTGTTCTGATTTTTGGTTAGCCCCTATAGGGGAATGGGCACTGCAAAGATCAGGCTTATTTTTTTGCCTGACATGCTATCTCTAGCACTTCTCTCCCTCTCTAAAGTAAGCTATTCTTTGCTGTCTTATGTTTTCTAAGAAACTTAACTTTCATTTACCACTCGTTGTTACTCTTTAGTACTTATGTTCTAGGCGTGGGAATGAGACTTTTCCCCTGTAATCACCACAGTAACATTATGAATTAGGTATTATAATTATCATCATACTACAGCTGAGGAAAGTAGCACTTAGATAAGTAATTTGCCCAAGGTCCATAATTGAAGTAGAATTTGAAACCAGTCTACCTTAACTTCAGAGCCCATGTTTCATATTTCTGAAATGATAAAGTCCAATTATATCCTATCCATTGAGATTTGGGAGGATAGTTCCACGTAGGATTATTAACAAAGATAGACATCATAAACAAAAAATAAATATAATTTGACTGGACCACACATTAGCTCTTTCTTTTTTTTTTTTTTTTAGCTCTTTCTTTTTTTTCAGGTGGATTATGAATATAAAAGGTCACATGCAAAAATTCACAAATATATTAAATCTGAAGTCTAGATACTAAACCACTATTTATTTAGAAGCAATTATATCTAGGATATAAGGTCCAAAATATTTGTATGTTAGCATTTGTTCAGAACTTGGGTTATTACCATGAATTAATATTAATTTTACTTGTGATTCAGATTCTGGTTTTCAAATCATTTAAACTTTCTGTTTCTGCTTATCAAGTCATAAATACCTAAAAGATATGTCTTGTAGTAGGAGCTTTTAGCTTTCTACAAAGGAGGTAAATTGATAACCTCAGTCATACGAATAGTTTGTGTCAGAGTGAGAATTAATAATCCCAAAGCTCCTGATTCCCATGTGATAGAACATGTTCTCACAACATTTTTATTGCTTCTTCCTTTTATTTCCCTTCTTTTTTTAAAAAAAATTTATTTAAGTAATCTCTACACCCAAAGTGAGGCTTGAACTAACAACCCCAAGTTCAAGAGTCACATGGTCCTTCAACTGAGCCAGCCAGGCACCTATATTTCCCTTCATTTTTAAGAGAGAGTAAACTTTTGTCTTTCAAGATATACATTTTATATCTTGAGATATATATAATATATATATAATATTCTCTTGAGAGAAATATTATAGATTACTGTTACCTTCTGGCTCATGCTCAATTTTCCCTATCCTTTCAACTTCTTTTCCTTTTAACTTTGATACTCAGAGCATTGGACTAAGAACATAGCTACTGATTCTACTTCAGTCATTAATTGTTAGGAAAAGTAAAAATAATATTTTCTTTAAGAATATTATGGGAAAACTTAAAAATAATGTTTGAAGCTTATTGAAGTTTTGGTAAGTGGTCTTTTCTAATAGTCTATTAAAATTGTCTTTTTACTCATATACTGGAGGAGTTCTAAGTGTTAGTGTGGCATTTGGAGCTTTTGTTAACCTAAATAACTTCCTGCTGTTACACACAGATTTATACATTTTTTCTGGCTGGTTTCAGGATTATGGAATTCTGAATTTGTTGCTCTTGGAATCTGTGGTCAGTCTCTTATCAGAATCAGTGGAATCAAGCTTTGACCAAGATACCAAAAGGCCTACATAAAACATGTATTGGTATCAGCTTGATCAGATGCCAATAAGGCAGTATCTTTTCCATGGCCTATGAGTTATATGTACTTTATTATTTTTCCCCCCTCTTTTAGTTTAATAAAGAATTGAGTCATCTTCAATGCATTTTTATTTTATATTCTTGAGCAAGCAAGCTGTTATTTTGAAAATATAATTTCCTTTCAATTAATTTTTTCATTATAATTTTTATCATTGTTTTTTCTTCTAGTTTCATTAGAACACTCAAAATAAAATATTGTCTTGAATAGATGTTTCTATACTTTTTTCTAAATTACCTTTTCACTAGAATTTTCATTTGATCTGATACTAGGCCTCCTGTCCACACATAAGTCATTTAATTTTTGTTCTACTCATAAAATTAGTGTAGATCAATATAAAAATGTATAAAATCAGTCAGCAGCCTATAAGTTCTTAGAATTAAATGCTAGTACAGACTGTGGAATTATTCTTGAACACAGAATCTTTTTTTTTTTTTTTTTACAATTAAAACAGACCACAGGTGTTATCAAACTTGCAGGCAAGTTTGTAATATTAGAACAATTCTTTACTTTGTATCTTTTTTAAATAGGATGTGAGCTGCAATGAAATTCAAACAGTACCTTCCCAAATTGGTAATTTGGAGGCCTTGAGAGACCTTAATGTAAGAAGAAACCACTTAGTACGTTTGCCTGAAGGTAAGAAAACTGGGAAATAATTTTTTTGTTTAAAAGATCTCTAGGTACAATGCAAAAATGCTTAAGAGTTACAACCAGTGTTTGAGATATAATGGTTCAATTACTATATGTTATCATTTCCTTGTGGATTTTAAAAGTTAGATTTGTAGGGATGCCTGGGGGGCTCAGCGGTTGAGCGTCTGCCTTTGGTGCAGGGCACGACCCCCGAGTCCCTGGATTGAGTCCCACATCGGGCTTCCTGCGTGGAGTCTGCTTCTCCCTCTGCCTGTGTCTCTGCCTCTCTCTTTCTCTCTGTGTCTCTCATGAATAAATAAATAAAATACTTTAAAAATAAATAAATAAAAATAAAAGTTAGATTCTTCATTGAAAAATTCCAGTAACTATTAACCAGTGATTGTATTTTTAGATTTTACAGAATTGATTAATAACTCAAGGTAGAGTCCCTGGAAGTTTCAGTAAGTGCAACTACTTGGGAGAAACATATCATAGTTTTGATAAGGAAATAGTTTAGCATAATGAAAAACATTCCTACAATTTGCAGTGACTAAAAATGGACTTGACTTGAACTTAATTACTTTATCTTTCCCTGGAAATGTTTAGATAGAGGCTAATTAATGGTTGGAAGTGATGTGTAGAATGAATAATGAATGGAGTACTAGGAGGTTGGTTATCATAGATTCACTGTAGGCTCTGGTAAATGTATCTGAATGATAAAAAGGATTAAACACATTAAGTATAATTAATCTTTCAAAATACAAATTCATGAAAGAAGCTGTAAAAGGAAATGAAAATGGGGAGAACTATTATTTTATTAGATCAGAGTATATATTTAATTTTATTATGGAAAATTTCATATATAAATGAGAGCAGTGAATCATCCAGCTACAGTAGTTATCACCTCCTGGCAACTCCTGTGTCATCTATCCTCCCATCCACTTTCCCTTACCTGTATCCTTTAGAAGGCATTTTCATGACCATGATGTTCTGGGTTCTTCTACAAAGCATGACTTATAGTATTTAGTAAATACTCAATTAATAACTAAGGAAATTTTTGCTTCACTGTGGAATCCAAATGTTAACACCAGTATGATCCAGTATGATTTTAAGTCCTAACATATGCTAGTGTGACTTTGACATTTTGGATATCAGAATGTCTCAATAAGTGATTTTTTAGTCCACTTTTTTTTTTTAAAAGATCTATTTATTTATTTATGAGAGACACAGACTGAGAGAGAGAGAAGCAGAGACATAGGCAGAGGGAGAAGCAGGCTCCTCGCAGGCAGCCAGATGTGGGACTCGGTCCCAGAGCACGGGATCACGACCTGAGCCGAAGGCAGGCCCCCAACCGCTGAGCCACCCAGGCATCCCTCAGTCCACTTTTACACACTTACTGCAGTCACACTAGCCAAAATCCTGCATAGCTTTCCTCTCAGTCGCTTGCCTAGTAACCTTTACACCTTTTATTTTCAGAGCCCTTCCTCATTTCCTCCTAGGTCTACTTTCTATCCCCTCAGGGATGTGAATGAAGGCCCCAGCAGAACTGACCAAATCATGGCACAGGCCTTAGAACCCCCCAAATTTCTGTCTAGGATTATCCTTCTACACAGGACTCACCTACTGTGATTGATTTTTAAAGGCTTACTAATGTAATAATACAGACTTAATGTAAAGTAAATTAATGAAAACATTGAGATTTTAGTGAAAATGAAAATTCAGAGTTTTAGAGAACAATTACAGTCTGAAAGTTTTATCATCTAATTTATTTCTCTAATTTTAAATGTGTGTTACCAAGGAAAAAGTGAGTCACACAAATAGTTTTATTTTATTTTATTTTTTTTATAATAAATTTATTTTTTTTGGTGTTCAATTTGCCAACATACATAATAACACCCAGTGCTCATCCCGTCAAGTGCCCCCCTCAGTGCCTGTCACCTATTCACCCCCACCCCCCGCCCTCCTCCCCTTCCACCACCCCTAGTTCGTTTCCCAGAGTTAAAGAGTCTTTATGTTCTGTCTCCCTTTCTGATATTTCCCACACATTTCTTCTCCCTTCCCTTATATTCCCTTTCACTATTATTTATATTCCCCAAATGAATGAGAACATATAATGTTTGTCCTACTTCACTCAGCACACAAATAGTTTTAAATGATTTTCTATCAGCTTATCTTGTACTCTTAACATATTTAGCTAAACTGCATGGCAAGAAAGCTTTATTCCAATAGCTACCTAAGTTAATGTGGAAATTCATGTTCATTAATTGGTGGTCTCTAACATATTCTAATTTGGTAGATAAAATAGTATGTCTTTTATTATATTGCCATTTTTATCAGAAAGTCAAATAGTATAAAAAATATATATCGTTCAGAAAGTTGAGTATAAAAAGCTCAAAATCAGCAGTAGCATTCCCCTGTTCTCAACTGTCCTCCTCCCCTCCCCAGTTGGATTTTTTTTTTTTTTGAAGATTTATTTATTTGGGAGAGAGAATGTGTGTGCATGCACATGTGCACAGAGGAGGGGCAAAAGGAGAGAGAGAGAATTTCAAGCAGACTCCTTGCTGAGCTCAGAGCCCAACCTGGGACTCAATCTAATGACCCTAAGATCATGACCTGAGTTGAAATCAAGAGTTGGACCCTTAACCAACTATGCCATCTAGGCACCCCTCTACCTTCCCAGTTTTAATGTCTAGAATCATCTACCTTCTCTACCTTTGATTCTTTCCACTGGCATTTGCTGACATATTTCTAAATGACGTGCTTTAACAGCTTTGCTGGATTTTTCAGTTTTGATACTTATGTCAGCTTCCTGTTATAGTAGATGAGGATTTAATTTCCTTACACACTATCACGATCATACCTTTACTTCCCTCCTACTATCTTCCCAGTGTAGTTTTATCATGGCTTTTGATCAAAATGTTATTACAGCTATGGTTCCTGGAGCACCTAAGGGGCTCAGTTAAGCATCTGCCTTTAGCTTAGGTCATGATATTGGGACCCTGAGATCGAGCCCTACATCGGTCTTCCTGCTCTGTGGGGAGCCTCCTTCTCCCTTTCCCCCATTTCCGCCACCCCCCCCACCCAGCTTGTACTCATGCTGATGTGCACACTCTCTCTCAAATAAATAAATAAATAAAATCTTCAAAATAAATAGTGTGGCCTGCCAATTCATTTAATGTACTCTGATTATATTTCTTTTTTTTTTTTTTTAAGATTTTATTTATTTACTCATGAGAGAGAGAGGTAGAGACACAGGCAGAGGGAGAAGCAGGCTCCATGCAGGGTGCCCGACGTGGGATTCGATCCCCCGGGTCTCCAGGATCACACCCTGGCTGAAGGCGGCACTAAACCGCTGAGCCACCCGGGCTGCCTTCTGATTATATTTCTTTTTTATATATCTTACTTTTGTTGTTTTCCTCTTTTATTTGCTTAGTTTTTTATGTACCTGTGGCTAATTCCACCTTTTTCTAGCAGAGAGAGACAGACCACATTGACATAATATTAATTACACTATTATAATTGTTCTATTTTATTATTAGTTATTATTGTTAATTTCTTACCATGCCCAATTTATAAATTAAACTTCTTCATGTATAAGTATACATGTATGTATATATAGGAAAAATTGCAGTATATTTAGAGTTTGGTACTATCTGCAGTTCCTGTATCCACTGGGGGTCTTGATATATATCCTACATGGATAAGAGGGGACTGACTACTCTACTGGCATTCAAGAGGTGGGGATGGGGTGGGAGTTTGGCTAGGAAAGTGCTGAGGTCTCCTCACTGTGTAGACTTCCTTTTAAATCCTCCATTTCCAGGATCCCTGGGTGGCTCAGCGGTTTAGCGCCTGCCTTCGGCCCAGGGCGTGATCCTGGAGGTCCAGGATCAAGTCCCACATCAGGCTCCCTGCATGGAGCCTGCTTCTCCCTCTGCCTATGTCTCTGCCTCTCTCTCTCTCTCTGTGTCTCTCATGCATAAATAAATCTTTAAAAAAAAATAAAAATATAAAAAAAAAACAAATCCTCCATTTCCAACTGGCAAGTCATCCTGACTTCCCATTGTGCCTAAGATTTTCCTGAGTTCAAAGCCTTTTGATTTACTTTCACTAAAGAATAACGTCTTGACTCCTGTGGTGATTGGAGAGGGGTAGTGCTGCATAAATTGAGGTTGGGGGCTTAGGCATTTAACTTCTACTTTGTACAGACTATCATCTAATCCGTTGGTTATGCCTGTGTTCCTGTGGCGTCAGACCTCCAGTTTTGTTCTGTGAGGATCAGACAGCTTGCTTTTCACTCATATTCCCATCTCTAAGCAACTACATTTCATTTCACAGTATCAGTTCATCATTAAGAAAGAATGATGATAAATACATTAAATTCACTATATTTAACCAGAAACCCCTGTACAAATTGTCTAGCTTTGGAATGTCATGAATTGTTCATTTCCATTTTATCACCCTGCAGAGCTTGCAGAGTTGCCTTTGATACGGTTAGACTTCTCCTGCAATAAAATTACAACGATCCCTGTTTGTTATCGGAACCTCAGGCACCTGCAGATGATCACTCTAGACAACAATCCACTGCAGTCTCCTCCTGCACAGGTAAGCTCCAGTGGATTTGAAGTATGCGGTGAATTTTTTTGACAAAGGGTGAATTTAAAACTTGAAGTTCTCTGCATGTATCTTTTTGCTGGAAATGAAGTTCTTTTAAAATAAATTCATCCAAATGTACTTCTTTCAGAAGCCCTGAATTAATGGAATGAAGGACCCGTAATGTTTCCAGAAGTGTTTTCCCTTTCACTAAATTGACTTATTTTTAAGTTCAGGGGTTCTTCTTGAAGGTTCTTTTTTTTAAATTATTTTTTTAAATTAATTTATTTATTTATGATAGTCACACACACAGAGAGAGAGAGAGAGAGAGGCAGAGACACAGGCAGAGGGAGAAGCAGGCTCCATGCACTGGGAGCCCGATGTGGGATTCGATCCCGGGTCTCCAGGATCGCACCCTGGGCCAAAGGCAGGCGCTAAACCGCTGCGCCACCCAGGGATCCCCATTCTTGAAGGTTCTTAAATAAAATTTAAGTTAATTTCTTTCTAGTGAAACTCGAATGTAGGCAACGTAAATTCTAGAAACAAATAAAAATACTTGGCTTTCAGAACTATAGATTATCAATGCACATCTTCTGATGATCATTTTTGTACCTTTTTATTTTCTAAAATCCTAAATTCCTCATTTAGTTTGATTATTTATCAGTGACTGATATGAAGCAATTTAATAATAATTATAAGATGACTATGTACAGATTCTAGGCATCCCATAATCTGAAGAACTTTACCAGCCTATATTTTTCACTGTAGCATTTGAACTCTACAGTTAATGATGGTCTTGTTCAAGCCTCTGGATAGCAACTATAAAACTTTATGAGTAAACTTCATAGCTATAGAAGGATCTCATAATCCTCAAGAATTTATAGTTTGACTTCTGTCAACAGAAGTATAACTTCAATATTTAATCATTTCCTGCTTTTCAAACCCTTATAAAAAGTAGGATTCAAAACATAATTGTGCATAATTGTTGGATTTCTAAAAGTAAAAGTTGTCAGTATAATCTGTGGGGAACAATGCTTTGAATCCCTGACTATGCCTAATTAATCAGTGTGATAATTTTCTTTGGTATTCTATCAGTGTTTATAATCATAAATTATTTATTTTATATGTTACTGAAATTTATTCTTGACTAGAAAATAAAAAGTCTGTATTTATATCACTTAAACATATAAGACAACAAGTAATATAATGAGTATTTGATTTTTAATATCTCTATGTAATTAATAGAAATATCTTCTGTTTCAAATATATAAAAAGTAAAGGGCTGATTGTGATTTTATTTCAGAGTAATGAGTAATAACCTGTTACTCATATGTAACAATAAGTTTAAGTAGGTAACTCAAATATGTTACTTTTTTTAGATATGTATAAAAGGCAAAATCCACATTTTTAAGTACCTGAACATCCAGGCTTGTAAGATTGCTCCAGATCTGCCAGATTATGATAGGAGACCCTTGGGTTTTGGCTCCTGGTGAGTATATTCTATTTTTTTATTTAATGTATTCCATTTCATAGGGAATCAAAATGGATCCATAAATCTACCTGAATGTTTAACTAAAGGGAAATAACCTATTCTGACAGTTTTTCTCAGAATGTTTATATTAAGTAAACAGTTGATTCCAGAGATCTGACAAAGTGTAGTTCTAAGAGTTTCTCTACCTCAGCACTGTTGATATTTTGGGGAAGATAATTCTTTGTTGTGGGAAGCAGTCCTGTACATCGGAAGATGTTTATCAGTATTCCTGGCTTCTGTAGCCAGGAATGTCGCCCAGTGTGACAAACAAAAAGGGCTCCAGACATTGCCAAATATTCCCCGAGGGATCCTGACTTGAAAACCAATGGTCTAAGTGACTTGAATGCTAACCTTGTTAGCATTAAATTTCTGTTAACTAAATCTGTAACTTAAAGCAAGTCATTCAAACTTTTGGAGGTTCATTTTTTTCTTTAGGGACTAAAGAGGTTGGATTTGATGACCATTAATGTCATTTCAGGATCCTTTAGTTTATGCATCCTTCATCTACATGACACCTAACTTAAAAGGTTATCTCTCCTTGGCATTCCCAACCATCTGGAACAATGTTAACTAGCAGTAATTACATTCAAAAGGCCTTTTAACAGGCAAAATACATGTCTCAGTGTGGATGCCATAATACATATAGGCTTTATTCAAAAGAAAACCCCTTTGGCCTTCACTTAGAACTTGTCACATTTTACTTTAATAAAAGCATAGTCCTAATGAGCTAGCTTCTCAGTATCCTAGTCCAAAACAGATGAACAAATTTCTATTTTGGTAGAGTTTCTAAAAGCAGACATGTTAAAAGTACAAAAAGTAATTTAAAAGAAAAAACTGTTAAAAGCAGACACATATTAAAAAATTCAAGTTAATGGATAACTCTGAGAGGAAGGAAAATACAATGTAAAAGAGGTATTGGGGGCTTTAAAGGGTATTAATGTCTTCTCACATTTTAAAAACTGTTATATTCATTTTTTATCTATATGCTATATTTAATAATTCTAACAAGATATTTAAAAGCAATAACACTCTAAAAACATAGCACCTTTGATGCCGTTAGGCATATTTGCCAAGAACTCTCCATATTTCAGTAATGTTTTATTTTATTTTTTAAGATTTTATTTATTCATGAGAGAGAGGCACAGACACAGGCAGAGGGAGAAGCAGGCTCCATGCAGAGAGTCCGATACGGGACTTGATCCCGAGACTCCAGGATCATGCCCTTGGGTGGAAGGCAGGCACTAAATTGCTGAGCCACCCAGGGTTCCCTTCAGTAATGTTTTAAATTATTGTTCTGTTATATATAGCACAGTACAATAATTGATGCTCATCAATAAAATCCTAAAGTGTATTAGGTATATCATTTCTAGTAAAAGGAAATGTGCATTAAGTTTAAATTTTAAATTTTTTAAATACAATTAAATTTTAAACAGTTTAAATTTTTTCATCATAAATGATTAGAATTAAGTTTATGGTATAAAGGAGTAATCTTAAGCTATCTAAAAATACAGAACCTGATTTTTTTTTAATTTTATTTATTTGAGAGAGAGAATGAGCAGGAAAGTGAGCATGAGCTTGGGTAGAGGCAGAGAGAGAGAGGGAGGGAGAAGCAGACTCCCCACTGAGTGGGGAGCCCAACTCGGGCTTGATCCCAGGACTCCAGGACCATGACCTGAGCCAAAAGCAGATGCTTAACCAACTGAGCCATTCAGGCACCCCCAGAACCTGATTTCTTAAGTATTACTCCAAAGGGACTTGATTTCTGCCCTTTGCCACCAATTGTCTTTCTTCTTCACCACTGTATCCCTAGTTCAGCTGAGTATTTAGCACACACAGTAGATACTCAAATATTTATTAAAGGAATGAATAGTCAGTTTGGTCACAATGTTATTCTCCTCCTAACTTTCCTCTGCTTAAAGTGATCAGAAACAAATTTGTAATGACATTCTGGGTGTTTTTGATCCAGCTAGCTATTAGATTGAAGAGTTTCAGACACTATGAAGGGTATTTAAAATACTAACTCTAATTGGTTGCTTAAGCATACAGTCATTCAAGATTTTAGTATATTTATACAAATACCAAGGAGAAATTAACCAATACCATGCATACACATAAAAGATTCCTACAAGAGTGTCTCAGTCCTAACATTTTTAACTCTGAGAAGACCCAAAGCAGGGATGTGATGTTAAGGAAGACATAAAAGGTTTTAACAGGTCTGTCATGGGGATTAGGGATTAGGTCTGGCATACTCTGTGCTAGATCTAGGCCTCTCCTAGAGAAATGACTTTGACAGTAGGGAGATTATGAAGGGACCCAAAGCATAATGCCAAGGATTTTTAAATTTTCTCTATTATATCCTGTCTTCAAGTCTTTTTTTCTCCTACCTCAGTAAATTGCTTAGGATAGAGAACTCTGGTCTTATTTATCAAAAAAAGTTTTGTTTTTCCTATTTAAAATGTCATGTCTCCAAAGGAATTAGTAATTATAGATCTGATGTCTTCCAGTCCATATAATAATCTCTCACTATGCTCGCTAGATTGATCTGTATTTTATATTTTCCATTTTTTCTGGAGTTATGTTACTTCATTTGTAACTGTTTTAGAACGTCCTAGAAAGGGATGCCTGGGTGGCTCAGTGGTTGAGCGTCTGCCTTTGGCTCAGGCCATGATCCCAGGGTCCTGGGGATTGAGTCCCACATCGGGCACCCTGGGCCGCAGGCGGCGCTAAACCACTGCACCATTGGGGCTGTCCCTTTTTTTTTTTTTATTTTTTAAAAGATTTTATTTATTTATTGAGACAGAGAGAGAGAAAACTAATTGTAATACCTTTTCATTGCTGCCATAACAAATTACCACAAACTTAGATTTTTAAACACGCATTTATTATCTTATGGTTTTGTAGGTAGAAGTCTCAGTCTTGGACTCATTGGGCTAAAATCAAGATGCTGGCAGAGCTTTGTTCTTATTGTAGGTTCGAAGTAGGATACATTTCACTTCTAGAGAGAAGCTGTTTGCATTCCTTGACTCTTAACCAAGAATCCTCTTCAAGCCAGCATTGTATCATACTGACCTCCTCTTCTCCTTCCCTATTGTGCTTCTAAGGACCCTTTTTTTTCCTTTTAGTATTATTTTTTAATTGAAGTTCAATTTGCCAACTATAGCATAACACCCGGTGCTCATCCCGCCAAGTGCCCCTCTCAGTGCCCGTCAGCCAGTCACCCCAACCCCCCGCCCACTTCTCCTTCCACTACCCCTTGTTCATTTCCCAGTTAGATGTCTCTCATGTTTTATCACCCTCACTGATATTTTCATTCATTTTCTCTCCTTTCCCTTTATTCCCTTTCACTAATTTTTATATTCCCCAAATGAATGAGACCATATAATGTTCGTCCTTTTCCGATGGACTTATTTCACTCAGCATAATACCCTCCAGGTCCCTCCACGTCAAAGCAAATGGTGGGTATTTGTCATTTCTAATGGCTGAGTAATATTCCACTGTATACATAGACCACATCTTCTTTATCCAGTCATCTTTCGATGGACACCGAGGCTCCTTCCACAGTTTGGCTCTTGTGGACATTGTTGCTATAAATATCGGGATGCAGGTGTCCCGGCATTTCACTGCATCTGTATCTTTGGGGTAAATCCCCAGCAGTGCAATTGCTGGGCCAAGGACCCTTTTGATTACATTGAGCCCATTCAGATAGTTTACAATAATTTCCCTATTTTAAAATCAGCTGATTAACAACCTTATTTTTACTTTCAACCGTAGTTTCCCTTTGCCATGTAGAGTAACATATTTATGGGTTCCAGGGATTAGATATTAGACATCTTTGATGAGTGTTATTCTGCCTTCCATACTAATTTAAGGTGAAAACATCAGAGTAGTCAGAATAGTGATTATCTCTTAAGAGCACATGGTAAGGAGAATTGACTAGGAAAGGGATGTGTGGGAATTTTCTGGCAAAGTAGAAATGTCCTATAACCTGATAGAGATGTATATTACAAAGACGTATTCATTTGTCAAATATATAGCTAAAGCGTGTGCATTTCACTGCATATGAATTTTACCTTTAAAAATTCTGTTGGGAAAAAAAATAAAAAATAATAATAATAAATAAAAATTCTGTTGGAGGCACCTGGGTGGTTCAGTCAGTTGTGTCCGACTCTTGATTTCGGCTCAGGTCATGATCTCAGGGTCATGAAATTGAGCCCTGTGTCGGGTTCCATGCTGTGTGGAGCCTGCTTAAGATTTTCTCTCTCTCCCTCTGTCCCTCCCCTACTCACTCTCTCGGTCTTAAAAAAAGAGAGATTTAAGGGGGAGCGGGTGCGCCTGTGTGGCTCAGTTGGTTAAGTGTCTGACTCTTGATTTCAGCTCAGGTCTCTACCTCTGGGCAGTGAGTTCAAGGCCTTCATTGGGAGGCATGGTAAATGGGTCAGAAACATAGATGAATAAAGAATGGCAGTGTTGATTATTTTTAAAACTGGACAAGTGCTATTATATTAGTTAAGTATACTAGTACACATTATACTATTCTATTTATTTTAGTTTGGAATTTTTCATATTAAAAAGTCAAAAGAATGCCCATTTAATTCTAATTAAGTTAAAACACTAAGTGCCATGGCAATGTTAATTAGTAAAATTGCATTTAATTTATTTCAAATGTTAATATTTAAAACCTCAAACTGGATGCCCGGGTGGCTCAGTAGTTGAGCATCTGCCTTCCGGCTCAGGTCCCAGGATTGAGTCACGCATCAGGCTCCCCATGGGGAGCCTGTGACTCCCTCTGCCTATGTCACTGCCTCTCTTGGTGTGTCTCATGAATAAATAAATTAAATAATAAATAAATAAATAAATAAATAAATAAATAAATAAATAAATAAATAAATAAAACCAGAAAACAAAACAAAAAACCTCAAACTATCTGGTAACAACTAGAGTCTCTTTTTGGCAGCCATGAAGAACTGTACTCAGGTCGCCCTTATGGAGCTCTTGATTCAGGTTTCAATAGTGTGGACAGTGGTGATAAGAGATGGTCAGGGAATGAAGTAAGTGTTTTTTCTATTTTGCATGTTGTAACTCCTAATTAAGAGATAATATGATGAAAATGGAAAGTATCTTAATTGGATTCAATTTCACATTACATAAAACATAGAAAAGCAAGGAACGGGTACAAATCCCACAGAGTGTTACCATCCAAAAATGATATTCTGTTTCTGTCTTTTTTTCTATTCTGATAATTGTGTTGCTGTCTTTTCACCATGTGTGTTACATGTTTATTACCTTACTGTTTTGTATAAATAATATCATTGAAAGCCAAATAGGAACCGAGCCAATTACACCTGAAGCCTAATGTTTGCAGGGCTGGGTCACCTTGAGCAGAGGTGCTAGAAGGGGTGCTACAAGGTAAGAAAATAGGACTGCAGTCTTGTGGGTAATGAGACAGGAACCTTAGTGAAGACTATTAACATGCTCAAGATAAATAATTTTCTTAGCTGATTATATCCTTTTACTCTTTTTTTTTTCCTTTTTCTCTTGTGTTTATTATTATACTTCCCTTTTTTAAGTTAGAAAGTAGGATATTTTAGCTCTAAATTGGGTTAAATGATGAAATAAGCTTTTGTTAATGAGATCGATAACCTCTCATTTGTAACATTATTTCATTCATTCCAATGCAAATTAACTTTAGACCACAGTCCATTTGTTATTTGGAATTGCTTGTGTATGCGTGAGGGGGTGTGTATATAATCGTATCTGTATCCATGCAGATATATATATATGTAGATACTTTAAATTCCTATTTGTAGAGTAATATATAGCCTTCCATCGTTTTTTTAATTGTGGTAAAATATACATAACATAAAATGTACCATTTTAGTGTACATTTCAGTGACATTAAGTATATTCGTGTTGTTGAGAAACCGTCACTACTATTCATCTCCAGAACTTTTTTGCTGTTTCTTCTTAAATATAAATTTTAGTGAGTTTATATTATATTCATGCTTTCAATATTGTCTAAAGTTTGAAATGTGTTTAAATGTTGCTGCTTTTTTTTTTTTTTTCTAAGCCTACAGATGAATTTTCAGATCTGCCTCTTCGAGTAGCAGAAATCACTAAGGAACAAAGACTTCGAAGAGAAAGTCAGTACCAGGAGACTCGCAGCAGTTTAGTAGTAACAAATGGTGGAGGTGAGTGGTACTCCCGACTGTAGCTGGAGTCTTCATAGTCACTCTGGCATTTTTAAGTGGTCATTTTCACATCCTCTCCAGCTTTTGTTTTGTTTTGTTTTGTTTTGTTTTTATTTATTTTTTTTTATTTGAGAAAGAGAGCACGTACATGTAGAGGGGAGGGGCAGAAAGAGAGGGAGAAGCAGACTTGCCACTGAGCAGGGAGCCTGACATGGGATCCATCCCAGGACTCTGGGATCATGACCTGAGCTGAAGGCAGATGCTTAACCAACTGAACCATCCAGGCACCCAAGATTTTATTTTAAAAAAGGCGGGGGGTGCAGCCCACGTGGCTCAGCAGTTTAGCACTGCCTTCAGCCCAGGGCCTGATCCTGGAGACCCGGGATCGAGTCCCACATCAGGCTCCCTGTGTGGAGCCTGCTTCTCCCTCTACCTGTGTCTCTGCCTCTCTCTCTCTCTCTCTCTCTCTCTCTCTCTCTCTCTCTCTGTCTCTCAGGACTAAATAAATAAAATTTAAAAAAAATATAAAAATGGAATAAAGATTTATTTTATTTTATTTTATTTTTAAGTAATCTCTACGTGCAGCTTAGGGCTGAAACTTACAACCCTGAGATCAAGAGTCAAATGCTCTACTGATTGAGCCACCCAGGCACCCCTCCAGTGCTTCTTTTAAAGACTTCCTCTTCTCACAAGATTGGAAAAAAGTTGTTTTCCAATGGAATTAAATTTTAATTTCTCCGTTTTAAAGCTTGCAGATAAAATACAGTGTTTCCTTATTATTTTTTTTGGGGAGCAAACTTTGTAAAAGATAGTTTACCCGGAATAGATCTTTGCTAATCTTGATTTCATCGTGATTCTCTTTTGAAGTACTCTTCTCCTTTTCTAAGATTCTCTCTGTGGTCATTATTTGACCACTTACAGGAATTCACTGCATTTCTTGACATTTACCTTTTCATGATCTTGAATTGTATTCTTCAAGGGCATCTGAATCTAAGTTTTCTTTATTTTGGTATTTAAAAATCTGTAATTTAAATATTTTTCTTAATTGTAGTTTTTTTATAGTTCATTAACAAGCAGGGCTATTTATGTTTGTTTGAGCTTTTTTTTTTTTAAATTTTTATTTATTTATGATAGTCACACAGAGAGAGAGAGAGAGAGAGGCAGAGACACAGGCAGAGGGAGAAGCAGGCTCCATTCACCGGGAGCCCGATGTGGGATTCGATCCCGGGTCTCCAGGATCGCACCCTGGGCCAAAGGCAGGCGCTAAACCGCTGCGCCACCCAGGGATCCCTGTTTGACCTTCTTATAGGAAGCTTCCTTGTAGGAAGACTCTTGATTTTAACATTGTATTCAATCTTGTTTAGTTTGAATTCCCAAATCCTAATTTTAGCTAGTTAGTTAGTTAGTTACTGTAGGTTCCACACCCAGTGTGGAGCCCAGCATAGGGCTTGAACTCATAACCCTGAGATCAAGACCTGATCTGAGATCAAGAGTTTGATGTTTAACCAGCAGAGCCATCCAAGTGCCCCCCAAATCCTAATGTTTAAATATTGAAGACTAGGTATAAGGGAAGTATTTTTTTATTTTTCTAGAAGTCCATCTGAGAAGAGCTTTCATCTTCTTTGTAATTCCAGCTACTTAACATACAATACTGTATTAGTTTCAGATGTACAGTGTAGTAATTCAGTATTTCCATACATCATCCTGTGCTTTTCACAAGTACACTCCTTTAGTCCCCATCATCTATTTAACCCATCCCTCCACCCAACCTCCCCTCTGGTAACCATTAGTTTGTTCTCTATAATTAAGAGTCTTTTTCTTGATTTGTCTCTCTATTTTTCCCTTTGTTAGTTTTGTTTCTTAAATTCCACATGTGAGTGAAATCATACGGTATTTGTCTTTCTGACTTATTTTACTCAGCATTATACTCTGTAGCTCCATCCATGTCATGACAAATGGCAAGATTTCATTCTTATGGAGGAATAATATTCCATTGTGTGTGTTTATATATAAATATATAAACATACACCATATCTTCTTTATCCATTCATCTATCTATTGATAGATACTTGGCTGCTTCTATAATGAGGCCATTATTAATAATGCTGCTATAAACATAGGGGTGCATGTGTCCCTTTGACTCAGTATTTTTGTATTCTTTGGGTAAATACCTAGTCGTACAACTGCAGGATCATAAGGTAGTTCTATTTTTAACTTTTTGAAGAACCAACATACTGTTTTCCACAGTGGCTGTGTCAGTTTTCATTCCTACCAGTCGTGCACGTGTGTTCCTTTTTCTCCACATCCTTGCCAACACCTGTTGTTTCTTGTGTTGACTTGGAGCCATTCTGACAGGTGTGAGGTGATAGCTCATTGTAGTTTTGATAAGCATTTCCCTGATGATCAATGATGAGCATCTTTTCATGTGTCTTGGCCATCTGGATGTCTTTTTAAGAGCTTTCATCCTTGAATGATAATTTCAGTTAAGTAACTTGGTTTCTTTTTTTTTCCTTTTTTATATTCTTTTGTAGTTCTGTTACTTACCATTCCATTCATATTTTAGTAGTTTTCTTTTTAATTTTGCTTACATGAGATGTCTTTCATTTAGTTCATTTCAAACTTAAAACATTTTTGTCTTGATCTGTGCTATCCAATATGGTAGCCACTAGCCACATGTGGTTATTGAGCATTTAAAATTAGGCCTAACAATTTTTTAAAAGTTTTCTCTACTTAAGTATCTTTATACCTGACATGGGGCTCAAACTCACAACCTTGAGTTTGAGTCACATGTTCTTCCTACTGAACCAGCCAGGCGCCCCTGAAATGAGGCCTTTCTAAATTGAGATGTGCTATAATTAAAAAATACACATTGGGTTTTGAAGCCTTTACACAGGGCGGGGGGATAGGGGATATAAAATATCAGTAATATTTTATATTAATTATATGCTATAATGACACAATTTTTTATATACTAGACCAAGTAAAATATATTATTAAACTTAATGTCACCTTTTCTTTTGACTGTTTTAATGTGGCTACTAGATAATTTTTAATAACTTATGTGGTTCACTTTTATGGCTTGCCTTCTATTTCTCTTGGACTATACTAGTCTATATAGGATGAAAAGATGATGTTGCTTTTTTGGGAAGTCATAAAATGAACCATTTATTTAGTCACACAAATTGCAGCACATTGAAAACAATGCATTTATGTACTTGGCTTCTAATGTGGGTATAGACTTATAACCTTTTCATCCTTTATCTGTTATTATAACTCTGGTAATTCAGAAATCATTTTTATATTAATTGTAATTATGGAATTATTTAGAAATAAGTAAATCTGAGGGGTGCCTGGGTGGCTCATTCGGTTGGGTGTCCGACTCTAGACAAGCCAACTCAGGTCATGATCTCAGGGTTGTGAGATCAAGCCCTGCGTCTGACTCTGCTCTCAGCGTGGAGTCCACTTGAGATTCTCTATCTCCCTCTGCTCATTCTTTCTCTCTCTCTCTCTCTCTCTTTCATAAATAAATAAAAGCTTTAAAAAAAATAAGTAATTGAAAACCGAGAAATAGACTTTTCTGAGTTCATTATTCTCAGCAACTGCAATGTTGAGGTACTCTGTAGAACATCATACAATAATGGCTGGGGTTCACTGGAGAAACCTTAGAAGGCTTAGTAGCAAGTCCACCCCCACCCCCTGCATATGCCACTTTAACCAGCTTTTACATATAGTTACTTTTTGAGGAACCTGGGTGGCTCAGTTGATGGAGCATTCAATTCATGATCTCAGAGTTGTGGGTTGTAGCCCCATGTTGTGTAGAGATTACTTAAAAATAAAATCTTTTTATAAAAAGCCTCTTTTTAAACTTAAAATAATGAGGCAGTCCCAATCTTATGAGAATAAATAATGATGTGGCTATCTTACTCATCTGCCATTTTGAGAAGCAAAAATTCCCAAATGATCCCCTTCCATCCCCAAACTGCTACAAAATATCTATACTCCTTGACCTCTAGAAAATACATTTCTAAATAGAAAAGCATTGTTCTAATAATGGACAACAGTTACAGGAAGAGAAACAGTGATCAGTAGCTGTTTCTTTATCTCTAAGTCCACTTTCCTCCTATCCTTTCTGTTTCATTTTGATTTTGTTAGGTTTTCCACCTCCCAGTTCCTCGAAGAGATAGGATTAAGCCCCAAACTTTAAACATGAAGGAAAAATCTAAAAGATGTACCTTTCAATGTTTAAAAATTATTCTTGCTTTGTCTCACAAACTCAAACCATCTTGTTTAAAACAGTAAAAAGCTATCCAAAGAAAAAAGAAATATTAGAAGTCTGTAATCTCAATTACTACCAATTACTGCATTCTTTAGTGAATTAGGACTAAGATTTTTCTGGAACCTATTTTTGTGAGTGGCCATGGACTTTAAAAGAAAGGTTTACCTAATTTATGCTTCTCAGGAAAGAATGCAACTGAATGTGTTTATTGGATATTAAATTTGAGTATTCTCTTCTGGGGTGTGTGTGTGTGTGTGTGTTGTGGACAGTGGAACATGATCTGGATCAAATTGACTACATCGACAGCTGTACTGCAGAGGAGGAGGAAGATGAGATGAGACAGCCCAAAGGCCTGGAACCAGACAGCCTCAGTTCCCAGTTTATGGCGTATATTGAACAACGCCGAATCTCTCATGAGGTAGTACACACATTTAAGCCTAAATATGTTGCTGTCCCCTAGTAAAAACAGTCCATGGTGATATAAATTTGTCATATCAGTGATTTGTTTTTTTAGGCCTGATTATTTGTTTTATAATGTCCAGTACCAATTTCATGATTGAATTTTCCAGATATATTATAAAAAATAAGACGGTAGTCTCAAGTAACATTTAGCTTTATTTTTCAAATAAAAAGATTTCAGAATTTTGAAGAAGGAATAGGAGGAGTCCTGAGAATATTCCTACGCCTTTGAAAAAAAGGAAATGAATGTAATGTTTTTCATTTAATGTTGTTCTTACTTTTTTTTTATTGTTAGTAACTGGTACATCATAGCTTGATTAGTTATTACAAGAATCAAACCAAACTACCAACTTTGGAGCAACCTACAGACTTAACCATAGAAATTTTATAATGCACTTAATTATATTGGAGCTTTTATGCTGAGTCACACAGAATATAAATTGTTTGCCATTATAGTTCTTGGGTGTCTCTTATACTGAAGCATTGAGTTGCCTTAGAAAACAAATGAGCATTCAGCCCACTGTAGAATCACTGCCAATCCCTCAAGGGTCTCCAGTGGAAATTGCATTCTTCAGCATATCTAGTCAGCATAGTGAAACAGCTCCGCTTCGGTGTGTGTGATGTTAGTGTCTGGAGTTGGTCCCAGGCTCTGAGCAGGGGTTATTTGAGAAACACTTGGGGCCTTTTGGGAGAGTGATGTAGCTAGTCTTTTAGAAATAGAGGATAATCATTCAAGTGGGACATGTTGTGGAGCAATATTATCATTCTTTAAAAAAAAAAATCCTTCAGTTTTCTTGTCCCAAGACTTTTGAACACAGTAATTTTTGTTGGTGTTCAGAAGACGCTCTTATAATTTAAAGTTGGATAAAGTTATATAAATCAAAGTTCTGCGGCCCAGAAATAGCAGTGTACCAGGTGATTAATGAAACTATGTGTGATTCAGGGTATAAACATTCTTTTTAGAACAAAGGGCAACTACTTTGCAAAATATTAAAATTAGCAATGCCCATTGCTATCGTAAAGGGAGTCTTTTTTCTTTCCTTGTGGTCTTTCTCTTTGATCATTTTATGAGTAGACTGTATAGATGAGGTATTTCTACTAGTGGAAAATTATTGTATCATTTTTATAATCCCTCATATTTGCTATTTGTAATTTTTTTTTAATTCCAGCTATACTTGTGTGGTGGTAGTCTTGAAGATTCTGTGTCATAATCCTCTTTCTGACTTCTGTGTCATAAGGTTTTCTAAATTTTGGCATCTACAAAAATATGATGAAGCAGCATTATTTTAGGTGGTTTAACAACCACCTAAAGTGTTACATTCTTGAATACAATCTAAAAATGGGTTGTTAAAATCTATTGAGATTTTAAATACTCTGCTACTGGGCATCCCTGGTGGCGCTGCGGTTTAGCGCCGCCTGCAGCCCCGGGTGTGATCCTGGAGACCTGGGATCGGGTCCCACGTCGGGCTTCCTGTATGGAGCCTGCTTTCCCCTCTGCCTATGTCTCTGCCTCTCTCTCTGTGTCTCTCATGAATAAAAATTAAAAAAAAAATAAATCTTAAAAAAAAATAAATAAATAAATAAATACTCTGCTACTATTTAATTCTGTTATAATACTTCTCATAGATAGAGATCTTATGATAAAATAGGGTATAGCTTACATTTATAGGGTATTACATTTACTTTTAAAATTAAACCAATGTCACATTTATTTAGACATGAAAATTTCATGTACCTCTTGCAGTAATTTTAAATGATTTCAGTATTGTAAAACCAAGGTGTTAAGTCACCGATGTTAACATACTAGGAGAGATTTTTATTTATTTTAAAAAGCCAGAGTCACTGAAATTAGAATACTTGTTCTTTGATCAGGGTTCTAGAATTATGTCTCATTTTGTTTGATCCTCATGCCCAGACTTTAAAAGAGTCTGCTTTAGCCCTTTGCAGTAACTCACCAAAGATTTTCTAGTTCTCTGTAATTACATATTCCTTGGAGATAGGTATAAATAGTTTTACATTTGATTTTTAGAGACCTTTTTTGGATAGGTTGTTTTCTTTCCCTTCAAGAATACCCATTTTAATGATTATTTTCGGTGTTGAAATAAGTGTTGTGGATACATAATGTTAAATTGATTTATTTCTGCTTTTTTGGCCCAGGGTTCACCCATAAAGCCAGTACCTCTGAGGGAGTTTCAAAAAACAGAAGACATGAGAAGATATTCACATCAAAACAGGTTTGAAAAACCTATTCTCCTCATTTGTTTCTGTCTTTAAAACTCATTAGTAAGAGCATGAAGTTCAGTGGCTTAAAACATAATATCTGTAGTTCTGTAGGATAGACGTGTGGGCAGGCCTTCATTCTTGCCTTCATTTTCCCTTTAGGGTCTCACAAGTCAAAATCATGGTACTGGCTGGCCTAGATTCTTACCTGCAGACCGTAGGGGAGAACCCATTTCCAGGCTCATCCAGGTTGTTGGCTGAATTCTATTTCATATAGTTATAGGACTGAGGTCCTTGTTACTTTGCTGGCTATCAACTGGGACTCTTTTTTCACTTCTGGGGTCTCCCCACATTCCTTGGTTCATGGCTCCCTCCGTCTTCAAGTCAGCAATGGCAAGCCATTTTAAATCTCTTCTCACATTTTCAGTCTCTCTGTTTTCCTTTTCTGTCACATCCCGCAAACTCTCTTGCCTTCCTCTTCTGTTATTTATTGAGAAGTAATTGACATAAGTCACTGTATAAATTTAAGGCATACAGCATGATGGTTTGATTTATATATAATGAAATGATCACCACAATAGATTTAATTAACAGCCATCATCTCAATATAAATACAATAAAAAAATTTTTTTTCTCCCAGTTTTATTGAGAAGTAATTGACATAAGTCACTGTATAAATTTAAGGCATACAGCATGATGGTTTGATTTATATATAATGAAATGATCACCACAATAGATTTAATTAACAGCCATCATCTCAATATAAATACAATTTAAAAAAAATTTTTTTCTCCCTGTGATGAGAATTCTTAGGGTTAACCCTCTTAACAACTTTCTCGTATATCACACAGCAGTGCTAACTATAGTCATCCTGTACATTACATTCCTAGTACTTATTTATCCTACTGCTGGAAATTTGTAGCTTTGACCACCTCCCTCCAATTGCCCTCCCACCACCCTCTTTTGCTTTTAAGGGTTTCCATGATTATATTAGGCCACTTAACTAATTTTCCCATTTTAAGGTCAACCGGTTAGTAACTTTAATTTCATCTGCAAAGGCCTTTTTGACACATAACATATTTACTGAAATAACACCAGGAGATAGAGATCATAGGGGCCAAAAATCTGCCTCTCTAATCTAAACCCAGCGTTTCTGTTTTTGCTACTTTTTAGAAATTCTTGTTGTGCCAGCACTGAGGGAATCAATCTTCCCTTATCAGAGCCTATGCTTCCCGACCTAGTCATTTTCCATTTATATTCACAGTCACCACTATTAAGTGACACACCCTGGATTCAAACTCAATTACAACTAATTCTAAAGTCCATGACTTTACCCGCTACACAGTGTTGCTTCTCCAGACTTCTCGAGGTACCGGACTCACTTGTATCTCATTCTTTATTGGTTATATCCCAGCCAGAAATCTTACCCTACCAACCCATGCTTCTCTTCTCTTGAAAATTTTTGACTAAGAATATACTGACTACAAGTGCTAATCAGATAAAGGTGGGAAGGATTAGTAAAAAATTTAAGGAAATATTTTTTTCCAGCTTCAGTATTATTTTAAACCTTGTCTTGGGGGAATTACTAAGTAATTTATTCTATACCTTTAAAAAAAATTATAATTTATTCTCTTAAAACTTTTTAGGGGGTGGTGGTTTAATTAGTAAAAGTAAGAAATATGGCTATACTCTTGAAGTCACATAAACCAGAGTTTTTTAAAACTTACCTTTTGATGCCTGGAAATTTAAAAAAAAGAATGTCATATATACTTCCCAAAGATGTAGAACCAATATAAAAAAATAAACTTGGAAAGAAAGAAAACAGGAGTGTGGCTTAAGTTTTGCTTTTTTACATATTACATTTTTTTTTAATTTAGGGAAATATAAGGTACGCTAATGTTTCTCAGTAGGTTGCAGCACCAGTCTTCAGTGGATATTTGGAACATATTTATTTGATGTGGGAATTGGTTGCCAAAATGACTACAAGTGTTATTGGCAGGCATTGAGGCCAAACTACCTGTAATGTGCAGGGCAGTCTTGTACAATAAAAAAAATTTATCTGAAATGCTATGCCATTCCTATTGAGAAACCTATTCATAGATGAAGAAGCCGTAGATGAAGTAGCATGGTAGCACCAAGGAGCAGCCAAGCTGTGATGGGCCCACATTAGCCTCTGGTGATTGGCTTGAGGGAGCTGTCCATTCACAGATGGCTTCTTCGCTGCTACTGCTTTTTTTTTTTTTTTTTCCACTGCTACTTTCATTCTCTTACATACTTCACTCTTTGCCGCCATCTTTAACTGTTCACGGCTTAGTTTTTGTCATTGCAGGTAATTGTTTTCTCTGTGTGTGCCCAGATGCTTTTAAGTTTCCATGCTCTTTACTTTCTCCTTCCTACGCTCTGCTGCTATATAGTAGGGAAGTGTGGTATAGTAGAAGCCACTAATCTCCAAGTCAAGGGGCTTAAATTCTAATCCAGGCTCTGCCCCTAGTAGACATCACTGAACCTCTGAAGGCCTTAGTTTTCTTTCTTATAAAGTTAGTAACATGAACTCCATGATTTCTGAAGTACCTCCAGTTCTCAGAAACTGCACACCTAAAACATGAGAGAGCAGACTGCCACTGAGTCAGATAAGAATTCACACCAGATAGATGAGGATTACTGGCTGCATCACCTTGAGAAAATTACTTAACTTCCGTGTCTCAACTTTTCAACTGTAGAATGGGGATTATAATAGCTGTTACTCCTAAGATTACACAAGGAGTAAGATAGTTAAGAAACACTGTGTATACTATACTTCATGGGAAATATGTAGTATATGGTAGGAGCTCAAAGATTGTTCGTCTCTATGTGCCTCTGAAAAATGTCCAAAAAATGACACAAATCATAATTGATAAATGCAAAAGAAGTATTGATTACACACGGACATTAGAGGAAAAGTCCCAATTTTAAAGAAAAAGAAGATTCTAAAAAAGGCCTTTTCTAAGAAGATCTCCGTAGGTTGGAATCTTAATAGAAAAGGATTGAAGTGAGAAATTAATATATGGTAACTGAAGAGATCTTGCTAGAGAAAAGATTCCATAGTGAATATGTTTCTTAAATGGGGTGAGAGTCCTGAAAGCCAGGTGAAGAATTTGTTATTCTTATTACTTGGTAATAAGAAACTGCTGGAGCTTTGGGGGATTTGTTTTTATTTCCCTAGTAACACATTGATTTAATGCATTTAAATCAACCTGACAAGAGAGTAATCATAATTTAAAATTTCAGGTCCTAAATGTCACAACATCACTGCTCCCAACATTGTTAGTTTAGACACAAATGAGTAACAGAGACTTGAAACACCAAATCTAATTCAGGAAAAAGATAAATACCAAATTTTAAAATTTAGTACTGATAAAACTGAGAAACAGTTTTTACTGTTTTTTTTTAAGCATCAAATCAGATTTCATCTTTTTCTTAAAAATAAAAATTAACAATTTTTGCTCTCTGTATTAAAATTGCTACATCAGTTGAAAATGGGAGAAGTGCTTTACAAGAATGGTTGTCAGATTTTGCCATATCCCAGATTTCTGTTGATAAAATGACTTTGTATATAAAATGTATCTTGTTTCAATCATGGTAATAAATAAGATAATAATTATGTATGTATTATAAAGAAATGATACTGTTTGAAAAGTGACCTCAAATATCTGGTCAGCACTGGCTATCTAGCTTGATCAGTGGTACCATCGTATGAAATGGGAGTTGGAGACAGCAGGTATTCCAGGAGCTTAATTTAATTGAATGACTTAGGCTCAGGTTTCCAAAATACAGTCAGTATTTCATTGCTGACTAGACAGTCTAGTCTGTCTATTGATTTATAGAAAGTTACATTAACAATAAAATCTTACTTTCTTTTTATATATCTGCCTATCTTATCAAATAATTTTTTTCTGTCTTTTTTTTTTTCTTTTTTGGATCAGGGTTCCAGTTGAGCCATCTTCTCTCATGTCACTATCACCAACTCACAATCAGGTAAAAAAGAATTTTTACAGTTTTAGCTTTGATTATTTTTTTAAACTAAGATGATTTTCTATTTTTATAATACTTAGATTACCAATAATTGCCAGATATCTGTAAACTTCACTACCTGTCTCCTCCACGATACAGTTAATATAACATGTGCACCTAATATACTTAACTAACAGTGGTTTTAAACACCAGACAGAAAATAAATCTTTACTGATCTGATAGCTCTATAGCACATATAAGAATACAGTGAAAAAGATTAGCAGTAAAGACATTTTAAAAAATTGCTAGGTGACTACAGAGTTGAAATTGCTTGCGTCCGCAGTAGTTTCCTGAATTGATTAGGAATATTGGTAAGTTGACCTTTATCCCCACTTGCGTGTGCAAAATATTTTTGTTCCAGTTGTCACATACAGACTTGGAATTTCATCGGAGAAGAGAACAATTAGTAGAGCGAACTCGGAGAGAAGCCCAACTGGCTGCCCTACAATATGAGGAGGAGAAAATAAGGACCAAGCAGATTCAGAGAGATGCTGTCCTGGACTTTGTCAAGGTGAAATTTTTGCCAAATTTCATTGAAATTCCTAAAATGTTTTAGAAGTAAGTGCTTATTTGTTTTGTGGAGGCTTTCAGTGTTTGTCTTAATCATAAAATGTCTCCTTTCTTTTTTCTCACTATAGGGAATCTTGAGTAAATAGTGTAACTGTCCCCTGCTTGTGATTAGATGAATTGTCCTCCTCTAGGTAGACTGAGAAGTGATCATCTTGTTCTTGGGAAAGTAGTTTCTTCCTCTTAATTAGCAATCTGTCTTCAAACATCTCACTTTACTGTCCAGCTCCATTTTCTCAATCTTTAGTACATTAATAAAGATCAGTAAGACCATGAAAGTGCCACGTAAACCTCAAAGTACCATGCACATGTAAACTCTTGTTATCCAAGCCTGTTTCTAACTTCCTCATTCTGTCAAGCACCAGAATTTTGCAAGGTTAACAGGCTTAATACTTAGAGTCATCTTTGATTCATGTCTTCCTGTTCTCTCCACACCTATTCAGGTAACAACCTCTGTTAATACTTCTTCTTTTTGCTTGTATTTTGCTTATATTTTGCTTGTAATTTGCTTCTTTTTGCTTTTATCACTTCAAGTCTTATTTGTTTGGAAATCACCTTGGATTTTTCTCTTCACAACTAAATATTTCTATTTTTATTATTATTATTATGTATTTATTTATTTTAAAGATTTTATTTATTTATTCATGAGAGACTCAGAGAGAGGCAGAGGGAGAAGCAGGCTCCATGCAGGGAGCCTGATGTGGGACCCGATCCCATGACTCCAAGATCACACCCTGGACCAAAGGCAAGCACTAAAGCTATGAGCCACCCAGGGATCCCCAATATTTCTATTTTTATTTGTTTGATGTCTATCCCTCCCATTTATCTGTAAACCCCATAAAGCCAGGAAGTATGTCTGTTTTGTTTATTCACTGCTACATTCCTAGATCGTAGCAGGTCTTAGCTCATAGTAAAGCTTGGTAAATATTTGTTTAAAGGATTGAATGAATGGATGGATCGCTTCTTGTCCTCTAAAGCTTTCTCTCTTATATTTCATAATTCTAGTCAAAGACAATCTTCTTTAAGTAACATAAATGTGATAAAATTCTCTCTTTTTTTTTCCCCAAGTATATCTAGCTCATGATGATGATCTCTGATGGCTTAGAGAGGGTGGCAGTTTGTCCAGGTTAAATACTCAAATAGTTACTAGCAGAACACAGTTCTGCTCAAGACAAGCTGAACAGAAAGTAGAAATAAGGCTGGCAAAGAAAAAAAAAGTTTCTTTAAAAAGAAGGCTGGCTCCAAACCCTAATCTGCAACCACGAGCTATATTGACTGTCAGTAAATAATGATGGCTAACACATACTGAATCCTAAGGGCTGTTTTGTACATTCTACATTAATTAATTCATTTAGTTTGCCTTCTATAGATGCCTCATAGCTAGTAAAAAGTAATTACATTGGAGATGGTCTTGATTAAATGCTAAATTAGAGTTTGATCTTGAATCTATTAGGTAGAAGAGAACAATTAGAAGTTCTAAAGCAGGAGGAAAAAAATGAAAGATAATTCCAAAATACTAATCTACTCGTGTTAAAATGTTAGAAAGATAAGGATAAATGAAATAGAGAGTAACTGCAGTAATTAGACTAAGGTGCAAAATGAAGGCATAGAACCAGGTGATCTCTGAGGTTTCTAAGGAGAGGCAGTGTTACACAGTGGTAAGAGCTTAGGATCAGAATTTGAATCCAGCTTAGCTATTCATTATGCGCTCAACTTTGGGAAAATTACTGAATCATTCTGTGCCTTTTATTTCCTCATAGGTGTAATATTTAACTTTTAAATATTAACTCAGAATTATTATGGGTGCATCTAGTACTTTTACTAGTGTGGTGGCCATCCTCCTTACCACAATGGATTTTATAAATTAGTGATTTGAAGAGAAGCATCATTGTGTTTTATATATAGATGTTGTGGATGTTGAGTAAATCCTTGAAGATAAGTGAAAAAAAGATCCCAAAGCAAGATTTTGAGGCTAAAAGAACAGCTTGAATAGGAGGCTAGCCTTGTGGAAAGAATATAGGATTCTAAGTTAGACGATGGAGATGTAAATGTCAGTTATGCAGATTTACTTTGTGACCTTGCACGTATCATATAACCTCTCTGTCCTTAATTCTTTTGTCTTTAAATAAATATGATTATGATGTTTGTGTATCTCCAAGAATAAGAAGAATTATTTAAGATAATGTGTTTAAGAATACATTGTAAAACACTTACTGTAGAGATGGTATAATATTATTATTTGACATAATAACAGAAATTAGCAAATTGGGGAAAAGAACCAGTTAGTATGGGAATTTGAGGATTTGTTTTTGAGCATGTTGAACACAAGGTGAAAGTGGGTTTCCAAATAGAGAGTTTCCACAGGCAATTGAAAATGCAAACCTGAAAATTGGGTGATAGGAGAGAGCTAAAGGTGCTAGTATTAGACAAAGAACGAGTCTCGTTGAGAGACAGTAGTGAGAGATCACTATTCTGATTATGAGTGTGTTTGTGTGCATGTACATATAAAAACCATACTTTTTATATTTGATTTATAGATGCTTATAGACCTTTGTTTATTGCTCTCCTCATTTAAATTGTATGCATCTTCAAAATTTTGCCCTTCAAAAATTTTCACAAAATAGAAGGGCAGCATCTTCTAGCCAGTAAATCTAGTAAAGTGCTGCTACACGAGATACAGAAATTAATGTGGATGATTATCTGGTATCATTTCCACTGTTCCAGATTCTAACCAGCTTCCCTTTTTCGGGGGGTTTGGGGGTGTATAGCACAAAGCATCACAAAGTCCACAAAAACAACAACCCCCCTTAGATGGCGAGGTAAGTCTATATAATCACTTTTTCTTTGGAATTTTTTATTGTTGCAATGGAAATGAAATGTTTGCATGTGACTATCATGTTTTCGGTGATGAAAATATTGCCATTTTCCTTTTCCCTCAAAAAATTCTACTTATTTGAGAGAAGATGACATAGGCAAGGGAGTTTATCCAAGTCTACAGATCAGGAGTTCTTTAATCTATACTAATTCATCAGGAGATTATTTATTCCTTTACCCTATCCCCACCAGCAGTATCATCTCCCTCATCCATTTCAAAGCATAGTGTGTAGTGAGAGGGAGTCCTGAGAGCCGTATGTGACAGGGGTAAATGGTATTGGTATTGAACTAAAAGATAACTACATATATTTTAGCTCCACAGCTCACTTCCTGAATATGTTATTGGCTTTACAGTGTAGTGTACACAGTAGTTTTGTAATATTAAGTAGTACATTTTCATTACAAGTAAAAATGTAAAATTAATTGCTTAAGTTTTTTTAAATGCACCTGTTTTGATCTGTTAAAGTGAAATTTACTAAATATTTTTATTATAGTAGGCCTTTTTATTAAAAGCCATTTTTCTTTATCTTTGCCTTCTCAGTTTTTCAGTTTATGATCATTGTGTCCTTAAAAATGCATAAGGGTATTTTTTATGTGAATTTTAAATCTGCTTTCTGTAAAGTAAATTACTTGAAAACCTAACACATGGGGCTTTACAAGCATCAAGTTTCAGCACAAAGGTTTTAAAGCACAAGTGTTTCCAGAATAGTGGTAAAATGCATTGTTTGAAATGTTTTAAATTATCCATTATAATTTTTTTTTCTTTATCTGAGTGGACATATAGTCACTACTTATCTCAGAATTTATGCATTGTATAGTACCAGAAAGAGTAACTCAGCTTTTTTAGTTGTCTCTTCTTACTGTGGTAATAATAAAGGTACATACCTTTCACAGACAAAGTCAATACTATCTCCTTTTTTTTTACCCCCAAAATTCCTTCTTAATGAACATTCTGGAGTAAATTCATTATTCAAAAATTAAAACTTCTCAGGAAAATAAGGTGTACAGTTTTTAAGTTTCCAGTTGTATTCTTATTTTGTCTGAGAAAGGTAACAAAGAGATGCAATGACTAGAACTCATGACTCTTGGGTTTATTGTTTCTAATTTGTCACTGACTCATTAAATAACCACAAATTCTTTATTATTGCTACTTCTGTATTTCAGCTCTCTCTCTATTCTCTGTGAATAAAAATAATCCCTATTCCCTCCTTGCTTTAGTCAGTTTTTAAGCAATAGGATCATATTTGAAGTTGTTTAAGCTCTTTAGAAGAAAATCATGACTCAGAATCAACTTATTACCTCTTATGATCCATGAATTCAAAATGATTGTGAATACAATCCCATATGTTAGCATCTTCAGTATGTCTTAATATACCTCTTTGCTTATGTATTTGTGAAATATGTCACATGTGTGCATCATTTGTTTTTGACATTGCTCCATTTCTCTCCACCTCTCCAGTGTCCCTTCCCATCCAGAAGGTCTCAGCACACTGATGATAGTGCCTTGTTAGTGGTAAGAGCCTTGCACGAAATGGAGCTATATATTGCTGTGTCTTGGGATTGGAGAATAGTTAATATACTTTTCATTCAAAAATTATCTAAATACCATAAAACATGATAAGCATCATTACTAAATGCTTTACAAATAGCTGGAACAATTTCCTTATGTTACTGTTCATTATTTACCCAATGTCCCAGATGTCTGCAGCTATAATTCAAATACCTTTGTTAGTGTTTCCAAAAGTAAAACATTCACATAGCGATCCACATTGGCTTTGTATGTGGGTTAGGAGGAGAGGGCATAATATATTTGTTTTGTAAATGTCATTTCTAATTCCAAGTGCATTTACCGTATTAATCATTAATTGGCTCGTTAGTCACCTGTGTGTTAAATGAATTTCCTTAGTCCATGACACTAATTATACAACTGTATATTTGCCATTCTATTTTATTATCTACTTTAAGCTACTGAAAATCCCAAACTTTCAAAAAATACTTACATCTCAAGATTATCCCTCCATGCCCATTTTTTAAACCCTGGGAAACATTAACTTGGAATGTTACCTACTGATCATTTTTAACAGTAGTTTATTTTTTATTACCTTTCATCAGCTGACAATGAGTATAACATAGGAGCTGTAGTGAAAATCTTAGTTTTGTTAGTCTTGCAAGAGAACTCTAACATATATAGAATTGCTTTTCCTGTCATGTTTTATGATATTTTTTATAGTATGTTGAAAACTCACAGTTCAAAGGTCTAGTGTGTGTAGCAATTCCTGTCTTACGTGCTGGTAACTGCTGCATGGACTGCATACTTCAGCATGAGAGTCTTCTTAATGTAGACTTCCATTGTCAGTGTTTCTGTGTGTTCTGCAATTGTCACTTCCTTAGAGATGGATAAAGAACATTTTAACTGGGCAGTCTCATAAATAAAACCACCACCCTCTGGAGTTGTACTAGAAATTAATTGGCATGGGAAGCAAATAAATTAATGCTGAAAGATACTGAGAGCCTGTGATGATCCAGATACTACCAGAATGATCTCATTTACTCCTCACAGCAATCTTAACAGTTAAACATATCACCATTTTACAAATGATTACTGAGGCACAGTATGTTTTGTCCAGAATGCAATTTGTCCGAGGTCACATAGCTTAAGTAAGTACAAGATTAGGTTCAAATCTAGATCTGGCTGATTTGAGTATACCTGCCTTAGACACCATGGTGTATTGCCTCTCATAATTGAAAACAACTTAGGAGACTAAAGATGAGATTTAATAACACATATAGTAAGTGATAGAAGCCTGCATGCCCACACTTCTTTGTCAAGGAAAAAAATGGGATTTGGAAAAACAACAAAATCCCCTCAGTGTGAAATCTGAAATGGCTTTTAGCCATTTTCAAAACACATGCACTTGTATTTTATCAGTATTCATGTTTGACCTAAATGAGATGGCCTTGAAAAGCAAGGACCATGTCTCACATATTTCTGTATGCCAAATAGTGTCCAACACTGTGCCAAAAGAGTCTGTTTTAAATCATATCTCTGGGGATCCCTGGGTGGCGCAGCGGTTTGGCGCCTGCCTTTGGCCCAGGGCGCGATCCTGGGGACCCAGGATCGAATCCCACGTCGGGCTCCCAGTGCACGGAGCCTGTTTCTCCCTCTGCCTGTGTCTCTGCCTCTCTCTCTCACTGTGTGCCTATCATAAATAAATAAAACTTTAAAAAAAAAAAAATCATATCTCTGATTTTTCTCAAGACTACTCTCTGAAAAAAAAAAAAAAAGACTACTCTCTGATGTCTTCATATGATAGAATAAAGTACTAACTTTCTAACTTTTTTTTTTTTTTAGAGAGAGAGAGAGAGTGGGAGGGACAGGAGAGAGTGAGAGAGAGATTCTTAAGTAGACTCTACACCTAGCACAGAGCCCAACAAGGGTCTCGACTCAGGGCTCAATCTCATGACCCTGAGATCATGACCTGAGCTGAAACCAGGAGCTGGACACTTAAGCAACTGTACCACCAAGGTGCCCCAAGTCCTAACTTCTTAATATGGCATGAAAAACTCCTTAGAATAAAATCCAAACTTCTTAATATAGCCTACAAGTTCTTGTACACTCTGTCTCAAATCCCTGGGCTCATGCTATACCAGCATTTTTTCAGCTCTTCAAATAAGGCAAGCCCGTTTGCACCTCACAACCTTTTGCAAATGTGGTTTCCATCAGCATGAAATGCATCTCCCTCCCTGCATATACCCCTTGGTTAATTCCTCCTCATCTATCAGGTATCAGCCTAAATGTCACACCTTTAAAATGGCCTTTCTACAGCCCACAACCCCCAAATCAAATTTGTCTCCATTTTTTTTCTCATCCTAGTACTTTTAGGTGGGCATTTATTATTTTATAACTCTTCCCTATTAGACTATAAGCTGTAAGGAACAGGGATATTCTCTGTTGCAATTACCTGTGTATACTCAGTCCCTGTCATTATCCCTGGGATGTATTAAGTACTCAATAAATATTTCCTGAATGAACACATATATGCTATGTATGTAATAATCTCTCATTAAATTGTTTCATGATGAAAAGGTCTGACGATACGGCAAGGTATAAATATTGGATTTCATACATTGGACTGAATACATACATGAATATTTCATTTCATTGGACTTTGAAGTATAGGATTTGAAATAAGTATTAGTAGTGTTTAATATCTTTGACATTAACATTCTCATAGGGCTGGCCTTCAGGTGTCTGTTGCTTTCTTCTATATCCCATTGCATCTGTGTCTCATCTCTAGAAACTAGAGTATCTAGGCTCATTTCACTTCCTCTTCCTTCCACTCCTTTTGTCCTCCCTTGACAATGTAGTGGTTTTCAGCCTTGTTACTTTTGAGATTGACTCAAAATTCCAGAACATTTGATTATAAAGAGGCCCAGGAAAACTGAAGAGGTGAAGCATACACAGTGTATGACTGTTGTCACAGTCTTATTCTTTGGTACATTTCCTTTTTCACTTTTTTTCTGCCTTAAATTAGGTTAGGTTTCCCACCCCACCCCCCATAAAAAGAAACATTGCTATCAACTCTTTAAAAATAATAATAAAATAATAATCTATTTTATTGCTCATCTACACACCTTTGTCTGAATACCCACATATTAAGTCTAAGTTCATTTACTCTATGATTCAGATAGTTGTGATGCTAGTTTACATTTCTCAATGTTACTTAACTTCTAAAAGCTTTAATATATTTAAGCCTTTGGCATTTTGTTGTTTTCATACATACAGTCTTATCAGTGCCCTTTGTAAAAGTCCTGTCTTCTCTGCTTTCTGCTCTTTACCAAATTAAGTAATTGTCACATTATGAGCATTTTTTTAAAGATTTTATTTATTTATTCTTGAGAGACAGAGAGAGGCAGAGACAGGTTGAGGGAGAAGCAGGCTCCCTGAGGGGAGCCCAATGCAGGACTCGATCCTGGAACTCTGGGATCACGCCCTGGGCCAAAGGCAGATGCTCAACTACTGAGCCACCCGGGTGTCCCACGTTTTGATCAGTTGTATCTGTAATCAAAATTCTGTACAATACATTCGACTAATAAGACTGTCTCTTAATTATATACCTCTAATTTACCTAATAGGTATAGCAAATATTTCTACTTGTATGTAGGTTGGTGGAAAGATAAAGGATTCAAAGAAAAGGAAAATCCCATTCACCCTCTTATAGGTCATTGGGACACAGAGGCAGAAATGAAATGGTGGTTCATCCTTAAGGCAAGACAAAGAAGCCTCATGTCTGTTTTCTCATCTCAGAGGTGTTACATTGAATTATAATAAGTCTAATTTGGCTTACTATTGAAAAAATACTGTTCTTACTCATGCCATTTCTGCTCAGTTAAAATGAACTCTTTGGTTGAATTTGTTTGCCCATCATAGGAAGAGCATAGGACTTACTAGTTCAGTTTCTAAAGTGATGATGCTCAAAAATTTTGATGTTCTCAGTTTTAGTCCTGCGTAAAATCACTTTTAATAAATCATGCCTGCTTAGGGTTTTTTTGGGTGTCACGTGATAATTTATGAAAATATTTTCCTTTGTAGTCGTTAACTAGCTGGGTATTTCACCACTGTTGATGTCATCTACGATGTCATGAGGGTGACAGCGATCAACACTGTGCAGCTCAGAGCCTGGGCAGTCCCCAGGATCTCTTTAATGGTTCCAGAGAGTTCTGTAGCTAAAGATCAGTGCCACATCAGTCAGGCAGTGTTGACAATCTCACCAAAAGTGGTATCCACTGTGCTTTATATTGTTCTGCTTATTTCTGTCTCCTGGTAGTTCCTTGAGGGCTCTGAGAATCAGGGCAGAGGCAGAAGGTACCCATCTGAGCCCATCTGTCCTGAAAAATCAGTTGGTCAGTTGTTCTGTAATCCTCAGACCCTTCCAGTCACTGGTTTCTTTGGCATATTCATCACCAACCTTTTTTGGAGGCAGACCCAGAGGGCTGCTCTTGGGGGCCAGGGCAGACATGGCACTGACTTCCCCAGCAGTGCACTTCAGCTATACCACTTTGATGTCCTTGGGTTCGAACTTAGGTGGCATGGTGGAGGCAGCTGGCGTCAGATGAACCCGGATTTAAGACAACCAAAAAGAGTTGCGCCTTGGCCTCCTCCAATCCGACAGCTAAAAAGCCCTTTCATTTCCTGATTAATGTGCTGTGAACTATTAAAATAGTTTAAACTATACAGGTGGGGAAAACTGTTTTATAAGTTATGGGTTTTTTTCCCCCAAGTATTCTTGTGCCCTATCGGTATTTTAGTAAACCTTTTAAGTTTGTCCATGACCTTTCCTTTTCTAATTTCATTGACCCGATCTGCCCTGCCTGCCTGACATTTTGCTAACATAAATGCTGCCATCTGTTTCTTTTCTTTCTCTTTTAAAATTTAGTCGCTGTCAGGGTTGAATCAAGTGGGCTGCGCTGCTACCCTGCCTCATTCTTCTGCCTTCATGCCTATTAAGGTATCTCTTGTTTACTGCATTAGGAACTTTGGGGAAGGGTTGTGCATGGGAAGTCTTAAATTTTCTAATAGATTGGTCCAGGGACAATGTAAAATCTAGGAGTGCATGAAATATCTGTAAGCTTATTTTTAAAAAAAATATTTGTGAGTTTAACATTAATTTTGCTTGAAATTTTTGAAAGATTTACCATGCCAGAAACACACAGCCCGTGTTCAAATTCTTTATATAGAGATTGTTTAAAATGTCATTCTAGTTTTCCAATCAAAGGTTATTTTTTTTGTCATGAGTCATTTTACTTTGGCTGATAAATTAACTCTGTTGTCTAATGTGCATGCAAAATAATTTCAGTCCCAGTCCTCAAAAGTGTCACTGCAAAACCTTCTTACAATAGAGGTCAATAAGCTATAGCCGCTAGGCCACCTGTTTTTGTAAATAGTTTTATTGGCACAGCCACCCCCATTTGTTCATTTATGGTCTGTGGCTGCTTTCAGGCTTACTAGTAGAGTTGGAATATGGCCTGCAAGCCTAAATAAAGACCTTGTGAGGGGTAGTGGAAGGGGAGGTGGGCGGGAGGAGTGACTGGGTGACAGGCACTGAGGGGGGCACCTGACGTGATGAGCACTGGGTGTTATATGTTGGCAAATCAAACTCCAATAAAAAAATATACAAAAAAAAAGACCTTGTGGTATTTTATATTTTGAAGGCCTCTAGGAATGGTAATTCCATACTCGTTATTATAAGATATATAAGAAATTATTAGTAATCCACTGTTAGAAGGTTCTCCCCTCATCTTACTTAGATCTATCCCCTGGTGGTGTACACTTATTTCTTCTTTTCTTTCTGCTGTAGAGATTTTCTAGTTATTTAGCAGTCTTTATGTAAGAATTTTTATATTTGAAAAACTATTACAATGTTGCCTTTGTCTTCTCACTATATAAATTCTGGCCATTTTATATGCTTTTCTTAGTCTGTTAATCCTTTTGAGCTTTCTCAAGTTTTCTGCCTTCTATTTTGGCTCTACAGTCCCCAACCAGAAGCACATCCTTCATTAGAGCCCATCTGGCGCTGAGCATGAAATTGGGTTTTTCACGTCTTACTCTGAGCATTAGATTGGCTCTTCTCATTTTGCTCGGTATCCACCATAATTCTCAGATGTTTCCTTCATACTCCTCAATGATTATTAATTCCCACATCTTGTATCTTTTGTTTTTCTAAATATTTAATTTTGCTTTTTGAACATTTTACTTCTCTGATTTACTAGAATACTTTCAAATTCTTTTATCATGTCCTTCTAAATGCTGACCCCAACTTTTAACATATGTAAACCTGATAAACCTTCTCTCTAGTTGTTATTGAAGATGCTACACATACCTGGATGACTTCTGAAAAAACTTTATAATAATTCTCTTCTATGTTAACCCTTTGCTAGCCTTTTTCAGCTAGGATCCTTATTTGAATGACAAAACAGAAAATTGGGGTTGAAAATTCTTCCTTGAAAATTCTCTCAAGGAAGGTGTATAACGAGTATAGGAGATGTATAGGAGAGAAGCTAATTCATTACATCGGTGGGTATCTTAGGGCATTAGGATTTATTCTTTCCCACAATCATAGTTGAAAAAGGCCAAATCCAGGGGTGCCTGGGTGGCTCAATCCGACTCTTGATTTAGGCTCAAGTCATGATCTCAGGGTCATGAGATCAGACCCCTTGTCGGGCTCTATGTTCAGCATGGAGTCTGCTTCTCCCTCTCCCTCTGCTCCTTCTCTCTCTCTCTCTCTCTCTCTCTCTCTCTCTCTCTCTCTCAATAAATAAATAAATAAATAAATAAATAAATAAATAAATAAATAAATAAATCTATCTATCTTAAAAAGGAATAAAAAAAGAAAAAAAAGATCAAATCTGATCTTTTGATCAGATCTTTGTGAACCATTGTATGGTAAGTCTATCTTTCTGTCAAGACCTGCTGCAGTGTAAATGATTAGTTTGAAAAGACTATTTTTTGATATCCCAGGTACTTTACAGCAGGCAAGTAAACCAGGCAAGTAAAAGTGGAGTTCCTGTCAATTTCTGTATTTTGCTCCAGTCCTCCAAGAGTTCTCAAATACAGTCCATGGCCTCCAAGTGATTTGAACTAATTATCTTCATTTCCTAGAATGCAAGTAACTTAGATTTCCAGTTTCAATAAAAGTACATTTTAAAAATCATCATTCTACAAGTCGCCTCTATTCTGGCTTTGTTTTTCATTAATACCCAACTGTGTATTATCTTCTGGTGTTTGTAGAGGTGGAGAACATTTGCTGCCATTCAGTGGGATTTGTTCCAGCTCTTCCTTCCCATCTAATAGAGTTGCCTATTCACTTTATGGATTTCTGAATATTAAATTTCTAGTCTAACTTCTCTTTGGTCTTTATAAAAAACATATTTTTCCTCTGTATCTGGAATAATGTTTACTCTTTATGTTTTCCTGTTTGTACCATTGGTCCTTGACCAGGTCTCTGTTCAGCTAACTAGCTTTCTCTTTCCTATCTCCTAATCCTTGATAATTAGGATACTCTTGTTTCCTTGTGAAGATATCCAGATTTTACTTCATTTGCTTGTTTGTTCTTTTTATTAGGTCTTGTTGCTCTTATTTTAAGTTTGTTATTTAAATGTTGGTTTCTTTTCAATATCCTAAACTTAGTTTATTCACATTTATAAACTTGATGAACGGATCTTTTTTCACTACTAAAGAGGTTATACATTGCTTCACTCAACAGCTCAGCCTAGGGCAGCCCCGGTGGCACAGCAGTTTAGCGCTGCTTGCAGCCCGCGTTGTGATCCTGGAGACCTGGGATTGAGTCCCATGTCAGGCTCCCTGCATGGAGCCTGCTTCTCCCTCTGCCTGTGTCTCTGCCTTTCTTTCTCTCTCTCTGTGTCTCTATGAGTAAATAAAATCTTAAAAAAAAAAAAAAAAAACAGCTCAGCCTACTGTTTAAGTCAGTTTTCATTTTCAGCATAAGAGTATCAAACCAAGGAATTGTTACCACAAAATTATCTTCCAGGATCAGTCCAAGAATCTTATCAACAGCATGGTTTCTGTGTATGTATGTATGAATGTTAGCAGTTAAAATTCAGTCTTCATTAATTTTATCTGCCTAAATCCCAACTAGAGATAAAATATTTCTGAAAATAATAAAACCAAAAGGGAGAAAAGGAGCATGGGAGCAGATGTATGTACCTGTGTGTTTTAAAATCATTCTGTTAATTTAAAAAAAAAAAGTGTCTTAAATTATACCATCAAGTTATGTTTAGTTTATTAAGTCTAGATGTCAAGGCCTAAAAGACTGTTATTCTAGCTTTTCTTGATTCTACTCTCCTGTCAAGTCTTCAGTATTGTTGACCTATCAAACATCTTATTTACTAACTAAAATGAAGAAACCTCATCACTTTTTCTTAATACATTAAATTTTACTCTAGGGGAGAAAAATACTTCAGAAACTACCAGGAAATGAAATTAGTCTCCCCTATACATTTCACAAAAAAATTTTCTGCTCTAGGATTATCATTTTTCATAGTCTTAGGAAAGACCTGTTATATAATAGGACTGTCTTTGAGAATGCATTACATAAATCTTGTATCATATAGAAGTAAATGAAAAGTTTGGCCTTAAAAAAATGTACAAAATTAACCCTTACACCGAATTCTCATTTCTAGACTTAATTTTAAAGGAGAGTTGCATGATTTTTTTTTCTTTTATCCCGGGTAGTTATAAATGTTGAAAGTACCTCTTCTTGAATAATAAGTATTGATATATCTCTGTCTCTCCATAGAATGATGACAGATCTAATGCCATAACAAGTTCACCTACAACAGAAACAGGTAATAGACACATCAAAAACCACATCAAAAATAATTCTTTACCAGGACTTTCTTGATAAATTACCTCTTAGCTAGCTGTGGCTTCCTTTTCTGAGAGGAAAAACCAGACCCCAAATTGAGAACTTCCTGTACATTTTCCATTTTTTAATTCAACTGGTTGTTTATTCAGCCATTTGATATGAACTATGAGCATAAGCTAGCAGGGCTGTAGGTTCACAAGAGATTCTGTTCAATATAGTAACATTCATTCTGCCTTTATAGATATACCAAAAATAACATGACAGTTAAAAATACATACAGCCTTCCTGATTTCAAGGTCACTTTTCTGTACCAGATTTTGTATTAATGAAATTATCATCTTATTACCATGTTTAATTTGATCTTTATACCATTTGTTGAACTTTGTGACATGTGTGTCTGTTGTTATATTTTTTTTCCATCTCCTTTAATCTTATTTTGCTTTTCCATGCTGATATAGTTCATCATTCCCCTACATATTCTTTTCCTGCTGCTATTCAGAGAAACCAGGCCCAGCGCCCTGAAAGCTTCCTTTTCCGAGCAGCTGTCAGGGCAGAAGCAAATAAAGGTAGGTCACAGTGACTAAAAAGCAGGGCCACGGGGTGGGTGCTACTTCATACAGTGACATTAACTGTTAAATGCTTTTAAATTTCTACCCTGAGACATCACTTGGCAAAAGCTTTAAACTCTGCATTTGTCTGTGATCTTACTGACATTAAAACAGTAGAATCTTGTTTGAATTTAACTCGTTTCTTAGTACCACCTGGAGGAGGTTATAGATAAACAATAAACAAAATACTCTTTTGGGGCTTTAGGGCCTTTAGGGCATGTTCTTCCTCTCTGTAATGAACTCTTTTTTTTTTTTTTTAGATTTTTCTGTTGATAAAAGCTGTTTTATGTATTCTTAAAGAAATGAATCAGTAATTCTTTTTTTTTTTTTTAAGATTTTATGTATTTACTTGAGAGAGAGCATGAGGAGGGGGGAGAGGGGGAAGCAGGCTCCCTGCTGAGCTGGGAGCCTGATGTGGGGCTCGATCCCGGGATCCTGAGATCATGACCTGAGCCAAAGTCAGATCTTAACTGACTGAGCCACCAAGGGCCCAAGTAATTCTTTTTTGAAAACATCAACTGGAAAAAAAAAAAAAAAAAAAAAAACATCAACTGAGTCTAATGTTTTTTAGTTAATATGACATACATCTGCTTGGCCTCCAAAAAAGTTACCTGGAAGTAGGAACAAACATTTCAAGTCAAAAGTAACTACTTTCAGTGTAACTCAGAGATGCACTGCATGTGGGATTGTAAATTAATTTGGAAAACTGTTTATATTATCTAATAATGTTGAACATTTGTATATCCTATGACCAGCAATTTTGCCTTCTGAAATGTGTAAGCATGTATACCAAAATATATATGAAAATATTTATAGCAACATTATTCATAATAGCCCCAAAGTGTCCATTAGTGATACAGTGGATAAATAATTGTGGCATATTTGTATAATGGGATACTGTGTAAAGTAAAAGTGAACAAATATATACAATATGGATAAATCTTAGAACAGTGTCAATCAGAAAAAGCCAAACACAGAAACATACTTGAGTACATACAGTATAGCTTCATTTATAGAAAGTTCAAAACTAGACAGGACTATTCTAAGGCACTACAGGTCAAGAAGGATGTAGAACCTGTGTTATTAGAAGCAACAGAGGGTAGCCCCGGTGGCCCAGCAGTTTAGCGCCGCCTTCAGCCCCGGGCGTGATCCTGGAGACCTGGCTTCCTGCAGGGAGCCTGCTTCTCCCTCTGCCTGTGTCTCTGCCTCTCTCTTTCTGTGTGCCTGTCATGAATAAATAAATAAAATCTTAAAAAAAAAAAAGCGACCGATAGGTACTGGCAGGTAGGGAGCATGAGAGGGACTTCTGGGTGTTGGTGATGTTGCATTTTATTGACCTGATTGTATCTGGTTTGTGATAATTCATTGAGCTGTTTTGCTTACGATTTGCATAATTTTCTCTGTGTGTTATTTTTCAGTGAAAACATTTTTAATCAAAACTGGTTGAATTAAATGGGTAATAGACATTTGGTAGTTTCTAACATGATTTTCCCTATTATTCCATATATATGAAACTTTTCATAATAAAAATTGTTTTTTAAGAGTCAGTCCAGAAGTGGGAAGTGCTATACTTGTGAGGAACCTGTGATCAGGTTCCAACATTAGCAATTGCCTTTCTGTCTTACATATTCATATTTTTTTAGGTCATGCTTCACCCCTTCTTTCATCCTCTGCACTTACCACTGATTCTGCAGATCCCATAACAAGACCGAATTCAAGACAGAGAGAAGAAGAGCTAGAATTAATAGATCAACTACGGAAAGTGTGTACATTTTGAATTACACTTTTGCAGTGTTATTACTAACCCAAAACCCTGCAATCACTTATTTATATGACTTAAAATTTTTAATAGAGTCAACAAGTGCCCATTGTATGATAAGCCTTAAAGGGATTTTGCTGAACATTCTTTTCAGCTTTTACTAGGAAAATGAGATGGGTTATTCTATAAAACTCAGTCCCTGGCCTTACTCATTTAAAAATTTTTTTCTGTCTCATGTAAGGAAATCTTGTAAGAGTAATAATAACATAAGTATGTACACAAACAGATATACATGTAACACATCACATGTAGTGTTTATTTTGGAATGAAGAGAGAATCTAGTTCTGTCTTTAATCAGAAAATAGAGGAATATAAATAAATTTTTTATGTATTTTGCATATACTGTGGCCTGGCTGCCATATGTATGTACTAGATCTCCTTAAGTTACTGACTTAGGATAAAATAGGGATTGTGGTACTTAAGTTATTTGCTTTTTATCTTGATTCCTAATTAAATATATTTCATTATAACTCACATTATGTCCTGTGTGTCGGCTACCCTCAGTTAACGTGTTACACATTTTCCTGTTTTTTTAGCATATTGAGTACCGGCTGAAAGTATCACTGCCTTGTGATCTTGGAGCAGCTCTAACTGATGGTGTTGTTCTTTGCCATTTGGCCAATCACGTGCGGCCTCGATCTGTCCCAAGCATCCATGTCCCCTCACCAGCTGTGGTAAGTATATTATGCTTAAAAAAAAAAAAAAAAAAAAAAAAGCATTGGCTATTCATCAGACATTTATTATGTACAATGGCAGGCATTCTGCAGAATACTTGGGATACAAATATAGTCTAGTCCTTATCGTCCCAGGTCTCACTTCTACTAGAGAAAAAATAGGCATGTAAACAATGATTAATAACAGTTCTTAGAAGAGAAATATAAGAGGTTGTAGGAGTACAAAAAAGGGACCACTTAATTCTGCCTGGAGAGTTCAGGCAAGCCTGCCCAGAAAAGGTAAAATTTGGACTAATTCTTAAAGTATGAGTAGGAATTTGCCAGCATAGGGTCACTTCACTAGCTCAGTCAATAGAGCATGCAACTCTTTTTTTTTTTTTTTTAATTTTTATTTATTTATGATAGTCACAGAGAGAGAAAGAGAGAGAGGCAGAGACATAGGCAGAGGGAGAAACAGGCTCCATGCACCGGGAGCCCGATGTGGGATTCAATCCCGGGTCTCCAGGATCGCGCCCTGGGCCAAAGGCAGGCGCCAAACCGCTGTGCCACCCAGGGATCCCGAGCATGCAACTCTTGATCTCAGGGTCGTGAGTTCAAGCCCCATGTTGAGCATAGTGGTGTTGAGAAAATTGGACAGCAACATGCAGCATGAAACTGGATGACTTTCATACACCATATATAAAAATAAACTCAAAATGTATGAAAGATCTAAATGTGAGACAGAAATCCATCAAAATCCTAGAGAACACAGGCAGCAACCTCTTTGACCTTAGCCATAAAAACATCTTACTAGACATAGACATGTCTCCAGAGGCAAGGGAAATAAAAGCAAAAATGAACTATTGATATTTCATCAAAATAGAGATTACTTTAAAAAAAAAAAAAAAAGGGGGATCCCTGGGTGGCGCAGCGGTTTAGCGCCTGCCTTTGGCCCAGGGCGCGATCCTGGAGACCCGGGATCGAATCCCACATCAGGCTCCCGGTGCATGGAGCCTGCTTCTCCCTCTGCCTATGTCTCTGCCTCTCTCTCTCTCTCACTGTGTGCCTATCATAAATAAATAAAATAAAATAAAAATGTAAAAAAAAAAAAAAAAAAAAACCAGAGAGGGGGACGCTTGGATGGTTCAGCAGTTGAGCGTCTGCGTTTGGCTCAGATTGTGATCCTGGAGTCCCGGGATCGAGTCCCACATCGGGCTCCCTGCATAGAGCCTGCTTCTCCCTCTGCCTGTGTGTGTGTGTGTGTGTGTGTGTGTGTCTGTGTGTGTGTCTCATAGATAGATAGATAGATAGATAGATAGATAGATAGATAGATAGATAGATAATAAAATAAATAAATCTTAAATAAATTAAATGACTCAGAAGATTTTTTTTTTTTTTTAAGAAATTTGCCAGCATAACAGAAAAATGGGAAAGGCAACCTGGGCATAATATGCCTAGATGCAAAAGATAGGGATAATTGTGGCATATTTAAGGAATTCTTAAGTTGTTTAGAATAGATGATGCACAAAGTGTGGTTGTAAATGGTGGGAGATGTAGCTAAAGAGGTAACCCAAAGGCCATGTGATAAGGGCATTGTGTACCATGTCAGGGAGTTAGAAGTTTATCATAGTGTAGACAATGAAGAAACAATGAAGGAATCTGAGGAGGAAAATGTGATTATAATTGCAGTTTAGAATGAGAATCTCTTTGGAAGTGGAATTGGCATGATCTAGTGACCAACCTTGGATGTAAAATGAGGGAGAATATGCATTCAGGATGCCTGGCAGGTTTTCTTTACACTGCTGGTCAGATCTAGAAGTCAGTATCAGGATGGTAACCTACAAAAGAAGGAGCAAGTTTGGGGTTGATACACTCTCCTTTTTTCCCCTTCAAATTTTCATTATAAAAATTTCAAACCCTCAGAAAAGTTAAAATAATAATACAAAGAACACTTTTAAAGCATCTACCTAGATCTGACATTTATTTCATTTTGTAGCCTTGCTGTGTGTGTGTGTTGTGTTTCAATTGCATTACTTAAAAGTTGCAGATAATATAAAACTTTATCCCCTAAATATTTCAGAGAATTGCCCTAGGCAGCCTTGCTCTTGTCTGTAGCCTATGGCCAATGACTGACTGACATGGGGGCTGAGCCCTCCTGCATTGAGGTGGGAGTGAGGTGTTCTGTGGGATCAGGCTGAAAGAAGAGGGAATGTAGCAAGCCACTAGCAGGAGTGCAGGTAGCAGGTAAGGATGGATTCACAGGCTGGAGTAAGTGTTACTGGGTGAAGCACCAACGCATCCAGAGCTGTATTCAAATTTCCCTAGTTGTTTTTGTTTTTGTTTTCAAATTTTGCCAATTATAATATTTTTTAGCTATGCTCCCTCCTCTCCCCCAGCACGCGCGCGCACACACACACACACACAACCAGAATATAATCAAGGTTCCCAAGGATGCTGTTCATTTGTAACATGCTTAAAACATTGTCTAACCTTTCAAAAGGTTTGACCTCATCTGATTTTCTGGTCATTTGTTATTATTTAGCAGGCACTTCCTGTTATAAATTCTTTACTGAAATTGCAGTTGTATCTAGGCCTATATAGATGGCTACTTTTGGACATTCAACTTGCTGCCTCTCCAGATACAAATCATTTATCCCTCCCTAGGACCTTGTATTCTTCTAATTATAAAAGCTCCTTTGTTACCAAAGTCCCAAGAGTGAGGATGTGGTCCTATCCCCTCTGGCACATCCACAAATAGTGTTGCATTTGCTTCTAAGGAAAATAAGTAGCCACTTTTGATTTAGTGACCTCTGAAAACAGGCCTTCAGTTTTGCATAGGAAAGGCAGAGAGGAATAGTAGCCCTACCAAAGTCCGCTTTGCTCCCAGACTAGACAGGCTTGGTCTGGGTCCTAAAGGTGGTGATTAAGAGAATTGAAATTGACGTGCTATTCCGCAACACCAGTAAGGGAAGGGTTTATTCATAGTATGCATTTTTCCCAGTTTCTGTCAACTGAGTTAAGAGGAAAAAATATTGTTTTACTAGTTGTTGAAAAAAGGAAAATCTGTCATTTTTCATTTCCAGGGGAAATACATAGGAAGTAGCAAACAGCTAAAAGAAAGTGGAATTTGAGAGTAAGGGTGACAGATTCTTTACACTGATTACCAGAACATTTTGTATTAGACTGTATTGCTTCCTTTTTGTTCTTCTGACCATACAGAAAGCTTGGTAACTTACTTTCTTAGTAGAAGGCTTTTTGTGAGTAGAATATAAAATTAAAGCCATACCCTGAAACACCTGGGTGGCTCAGCGGTTGCAGGACTGCCTCCGGCCCAGGGCGTGATCCCAGGGTCCCGGGATCAAGTCCCACATAGGGCTCCCTGCATGGAGCCTGCTTCTCCCTCTGCCTGTGTCTCTGCCTCTGTGTGTGTGTGTGTGTGTGTGTGTGTGTGTGTGTGTCTCTCATGAATAAATAAATAAAATATTTTTTAAAAAATAAAATTAGGGATCCCTGGGTGGCGCAGTGGTTTGGCGCCTGCCTTTGGCCCAGGGCGCGATCCTGGAGACCCGGGATCGAATCCCACGTCGGGCTCCCGGTGCATGGAGCCTGCTTCTCCCTCTGCCTATGTCTCTGCCTCTCTCTCTCTCTCTCATGTGACTATCATAAATAAATAAAAATTAAAAAAAATTTTTTTTAAATAAAAATAAAATTAAATTAAATTAAATTAAAAAAATAAAGCCATACACTAATGAAAAACCATAGCAATTTCTTTATGGCTGCATTAAAGCATGGTGATTTATTGTAATTCTTTGAAAAGTGGCTAAGAACCAGGATTTCTTTTCCCCAATTCAAAAAATAGCCACTCATTATAAGGGGAGGTCTTATGTCCAAGCATTTCAGAGGAAATTAGGTTACAATTCATCTTTCTTTGTTATTTTGGGAGAGTCAGTGATGTTTGATAAACTGCTGTTTGGTTTAAAAGGCATAGGTATTAGGCAGTACAGTTCACATTCTTAGAAGTATACTAGTGAATCATATCAAAAATCATTACAAATATTGTAATATGACAACTCACTGAATAAACCATATCAACAAGGTAGGTGACCTGAAAAACTTCCAAATCATTTCTAATTTCAGAATAGTGGGAAACAGTGTATTTCTTGTTCCTTTTGGTATAGATTATGCTCTTGTTGAAATTACTTTGTTCTCCAAATCTGCATAAGACTTTTTATTCAGGGATCCCTGGGTGGCGCAGCGGTTTGGCGCCTGCCTTTGGCCCAGGGCGCGATCCTGGAGACCTGGGATCGAATCCCACGTCGGGCTCCCTGTGCATGGAGCCTGCTTCTCCCTCTGCCTGTGTCTCTGCCTCTCTCTCTCTCTCTCTCTCTCTCTCTCTCTCTGTGTGTGACTATCATAAATAAATAAAAATAAAAAAAAGACTTTTTATTCAGATCAGGCTGTATATTAAAGAATTAGAACAAGCTATACATGGCTATCCAAAACTATATGTTATATCATCCAAACTTCTGGAAAAGCTTTTGGAGATAGCAGGTTCAATGAGACTTAAGGCAAAACCATGAGTCCTTCTGCACTCCAGTGATAGGGAGTCTACGGTGTAGGTCCTTTAGCCATTCTGTTGGGACACATTTGTAGCCTAGAATCAAGCACTCCTAGGGCTTTTCGGGCTCCACAACACCCTAATTTGCATGTGTGTGTATTCTTCTTGAGAGCAGATTCACAACTTTCATCAGACTGTTAGGAGTTTGATCCCATTTATAAAATACTGTCCTACATCCCTAGAACTTGGATAAATGCTAATGCAAAAAATGACTGGGAAAAGAGCGGATTGTTCCTCCTGCCTCTTCACCTTCATCAGTCAGAGAACCCTGCTGTCTGCAAGAGAAATCTCAGAAGACATTTTCTCCCCACCCATACCCACACCCCCAGCAAACACAGAGACATCTTTTGTCTTGGGTTACTAGTAGCCTTCATGGAGGTAATATTGAATTAGTTCCCATGATCACTATTCTGAACCTTTTCTTTTTTTCTGAGATTGTGGTAATACCTGGACCAGTTTTAACTTAGCAGCATGAACTCCATCCTTTTAGCCTTTTTTTTGCATAGAAACAAAGTTGTTTTTCTTCCTACACAGTCAGAGCTATTTCATTCTCCCTTCCCATAGATGTTGGCATCTGAATAGTAGAGGTTCAGAAATTTAAGGGTCGTCATTTTGTGGAATGAAATGCTCAATCCCTTTCTTTTGACAAAGCCCATTGTGCCCTGTTCACACACCCGCCAACCTTCTCTCAAACTCAGATCAACATCCTGGTTTGCCTAGCTAAGGTCCCTTGGCAATAAGAGAAGCTAGTTGCATTGTTTCTATGTCCATTTTTACAGACAGAAAGGGAAACTAGTATAGGGAGAGGGAATTTCTAGCCAATGAAAAATTCTTTTAAGTAAAAAGCAGTTGTTTTGTGTTTATTTATCCAGCTTCCCTTAAAGTTAAGCCCTTGTCCTAATAGCTTTCACCACAGTGACTTTTCCTTTGTACCTCAGTTTACTGTATCTCTCCCTCATTAGCCAGAAGTTGAGAAGACCACAGCATCACTTGTCCAATGAACACCTGCTCTTTCACTTGTAAAATGTGGAAGAGAAGGACCCCAGCTTTAGTGTAAATTAGCCAGTGTGAGCCCTGATGGGGTTTTTCTTCTTCTATCAAGTAGATCATGATTTTACTATTTATGTTTCACTCTCTTTTTTAAAAAACAAACAAACCTTTTTTACCCCAATGATTTAAGAACTTGGCAGAGGCAAGACTGGTTGCTTTCCTAAAAACCTAATTCTTCTCATCCTTCTGGACCTTTTTGAAAGTTTTTCGATTTGAAATTTTAAAATTATTATTGGGATGCCTGGCTGGCTCAGTCAGTGGAGCATGCAACTCTGGATCTCACTGTTCTGAGTTCAAGACTCACATAGGGTGTAGAGGTTACTTAAAAATAAAATCTTAAAAAGAATTTTTAAAATTTTATTTTCAGTTAAACTTTTTTATTAAGTTTTATTTATTTTAAAAAAAATTTTTTAGGGCAGCCCGGGTGGCTCAGCGATTTAGCGCTGCCATCAGCCTAGGGCATGATCCTGGAGACCCAGGATCGAGTCCCACATCGGGCTTCCTGCATGGAGCCTGCTTCTCCCTCTGCCTGTGTTTCTGCCTCTCTCTCTCTGTGTGTGTGTCTCTCATGAATAAATAAATAAAATATTCTTTAAGAAAATTTTTTTTAGATTTTATTTATTAGAGACACAGAGAGAGAGAGAGACACAGGCAGAGGGAGAAGCAGGCTCCATGCAGGGAGCCCGACGTGGGACTCAATCCCGGGTCTCCAGGATCATGCCCTGGGCTGAAGGTGGCACCAAACCACTAAGCCACCAAGGCTGCCCTTTTTTTTTTTTTTAATTTTTTTTTTTTTAGATTTTATTTATTAGAGACACAGAGAGAGATTTATTTATTTTAGAAAGAGAGCCCACCTGAAAGTAGGGGGAAGGGAAAAGGGAGAGAGAATCTCAAGCAGACTGGCCCCTGAGCATGAAGCCCCATGCAGGGTTTGAAGATCATGACCTGGGCTGAAATCAAGAGTCAGATACTTAACTGATTGAGCCACCTGGGCACCCCTTTAAAAATTTTTCTTAGGGGATCCCTAGGTGGCTCAGTGGTTGAGCACCTGCCTTTGGCCCAGGGCATGATCCTGGAGACCTGGGATCGAGTCCCACGTCGTGCTCCCTGTGTGGAGCCTGCTTCTTCCTCTGCCTGTGTCTCTGCCTCTCTCTCTCTCTCTCTCTCTCTCTCTCTCTCTCTCTGTCTCTCATGAATAAATCTTTAAAAAAAAAAAAAGAAAAAAATTTTAAACTATTTTCCTTTCATCCCACTTTTTCATTTTTTATAATAAAGCCAATCCTAGCCCATGCTACCTTTCTCAGGCCAAGACTATAATACCTCAAACTCTAGTATATATTTATCTTGTTTCCTCTTTTCTCATGATAGAGTATCATATTCCGTCTTTGAAGAAAACCCAAGTATTCACAAGTGAAACCTTTGTTTTCTGAGGTGATACAGGCTTTAATCTGCTTACCTGTGTAAAAACTCTAAGGCAGAGTTCATGCAGACATTTGGATTCCATGCTTGATACTTAAACATATTAGAAACCAGCCAACTGGGGATCCCTGGGTGGCTCGGCAGTTTGGCACCTGCCTTCGGCCCAGGGCATGATCCTGGAGTCCCAGGATTGAGTCCCACGTCAGGCTCCCTGCATGGAGTCTGCTTCTCCCTCTGCCTGTGTCTCTGCTTCTCTCTCTCTCTCTCAATCTCTCTCATGAATAAATAAAATCTTAAAAAAAAAAAAAAAAAAAAGAAACCAGCCAATGACTTTGAACATTTGAATTTGTTTATCATTCTGGGAAATGGAATTCATATTTCTTCCTTACATTATAACCCATACATAACCTACTAGGTGAAAAACTTTCTCTAGGGGTACCTGGGTGGCTCAGTGGTTAAGTCCCTGGATTGAATCCTGCATCAGGCTCCCTGCATGGAGCCTGCTTCTCCCTCTGCCTGTATCTCTCATGAAGAAATAAATAAAATCTTTTAAAAAGAAAAAGGTTTTCAGGACTTTAGGCCACATGACACAACTGTTATTAGTAAGAGACCTTTCTAGAAAAACAAGGTTACTAATTAGAAGTTAGGAAAATTTCCTACAGGAAATTTGCACCCTTTGGAACACAGCTTCTTTAATCCAATCTTTTAAAATTTGAATGTTTAGGGATCCCTGGGTGGTGCAGTGGTTTGGCGCCTGCCTTTGGCCCAGGGCGCGATCCTGGAGACCCGGGATCGAATCCCACGTCGGGCTCCCCATGCATGGAGCCTGCTTCTCCCTCTGCCTGTGTCTCTGCCTCTCTCTCTCACTGTGTGCCTATCATAAATAAATAATAAAAAAAAATTTTTGAATGTTTAAAAACATTTCAGTATTACCACTGAGTAGAGACATGATGTTTCTGTAGTATATTTATGAGCAAAAGTTGGGTGGCTCAGTCAGGTAAGCATCTGTACCCTCGGCTCAGAGCATGATCCCAGAGTCCTGGGATGAAGCCCTGCATTGGGCTCCCTGCTTAGTGGGGTGTCTGCTTCTCCCTCTCCCTCTGCCTGCCGCTCCCCCTGCCTGTGCTCTCCTACTCACTCTGTCAAATAAATAAAATCTTAAAAAAAAAATTATTTGCCTTTAAAATTTTTATTTTTTTATTACCTTCTTTAATAAAGACTGCAGGGAAATGAACTAAAGTGTTGACTGTGATTATATTTGAATGACAAAGTTGTGAGTAATTTCTATTACTATAAATTGTCTTCAGTGTATATTGTTTTAAATGGATTTAAAAAAAAGGTATGGGGGGCACCTGGGTGACTCAGTCAGTTAAGTGTCTGCCTTCAATTCAGGTCATGATTCTAGGGTTCTGGGATCGAGCTCCACATCTGGCTCCCTGCTCAGTGGGGAGTCTGCTTCTGCCTCTCCCTCTGCTCCTTCCCCTCCCTCATGCACTCTCTCTTTCTCTCAAAATAAATTTAAAAATTTTCTGTTAAAGAGTGGATGGAAAAAAAAAAAAAACAACTGTTTCCCCAAAATTTCTCTGTATTTTTTACTTGCTTTACAAAAATCAAAGTAAAATGTCTAAAGTAGGGAGTAGCAAACTATGGCCCAAGGCCAGCACCTATTTTTGTAAATGATGTTTTTACTGGAGTACCTATTTGCTTACATATTGTCTGTGGTTGCTTTCAAGCTCTTAGCGGATCATGCATGGCCCTAAAGACTAACATTTTATTATCTGACTCTTTAAGAAAAAGTTTGCTGATCCTGTGGCCTAGATTATTGAATTTACAAAGCAGTTGGCAAGGGTATTTTTAAACTTTGGTAGTAACACCACATTTTCCTTCCTTTACAGCCTAAATTAACAATGGCAAAATGCAGGCGGAATGTGGAGAATTTCCTAGAAGCTTGCAGAAAAATTGGTGTACCTCAGGTAATAAATTTCTCATTTCTTATGTTGCCTAAATAGACTTGGGTCTTATTTTTCTAAAATTTTTCAGAAATGCAAGTATCAAAATCTTATAGGACTTGGCCTAAACGAAGTTGGTAATTACTAACATTCTGTGTTACTAGAGTCAGTATACTTCTGGGGCAGTTTTCCTTAATTACTTCCAAGGACAAAACAAAGAAATGAGACACATACAAATTTAAATATATATTATAATACTAAGTAATCAAAAATAGTTATTTTTTACATTTTCTAAAACATTGCTACTTGCCATTTGACTTGTATACATCTTCATACACAAGAGTCTGCTTCAAAATGCGTGCATCTCAGACTGAGAATGCTTCCATTGGTTTCAGGTTTTTTAACATTTACTTTCTTTTTTAAAATGTTTATTTTAAAATAATTTTAGACTTATAAAAATGTTGCAAAAACAGCACAGATCTATAATAGTAACTGCCTGTGCTACTGTGTACAGGTTCCAGTACTGTAACATCGACTGCATAGCCATGGTGTGCCATTCACACTGACAGACACTGGGACGGTGCTGTTCACGAAACCCCAGACTTCAGTCAGATTTCACTCAGCTCCAATACTTTAGAATTTAGCCCACAAGAGGGCATTTCTAGGTGCTGTTGAGATTTATCGTCTCCAGGTTCCTCAGTTACAGCTTTCTTGCTCTCTAATAGTACAAATAGTTAAACTGTAGATGATTAAGAGACATGAACTTGATACACTTTTTATTGTTACCCTTTTAAAAACAATTAGGTTAAACCAACTAAACATGGTACTCTTAAAAAATACTATATTTAATGACATGAGATGCAGATACACTTAAAGAAATGACAACTTAGTGCTATTTGATACTTTTTTTTCATTAGCCATAACCCTTATGGTTCCTGTCATCATATGTAGTATCCAACCTCCAAGAAGAAAAACATGACTCTTTCGCATCACCTTCTTAATTTTCTATCACCTTCCTGTCAAAACCCAAGGATTTGCCCCTGAGTCAACCCGTGTTGCTCTTGAACTTAAGCCCTTGTCCTAACAGCTTTCATGACAGAAATGCAAGTATCTAAAATCTTAGGACTTGCCCTGAACGAAGCTGGGCAAATTCAAAGCCGATTTTTCATTTTTATATCATACTGTTTTCTAAAGGCTCACCATTTCTTTTAGAACAGCCCATTTTTAAATGGAGTAAGAGGGCCATAGTAAGGTTTCTAAGCAAATAGCATGCATTTTCTGCATTCTAATAAGTGGTTCTGATATTCATATGTACACACTCACAGTGAGTCGGTGCTTCCCACCTGGTCATCACATTACACAAGCATGCCAGGACCCGCCCCAATGCCTGACACCATGTCTTGAAACAAAGGAATGTAGCATGGGTTAGTACAGGACATGGGAACCAGAGGAAAGATGAGAGTACAAAGAGGCACTGCCATACCTAGAGAGGAGTGCTGAAACATCCCCATACAGCAAGACATGTGAGCAGACTTGGCCAGTGTCAAACCTGTTAAAAATACTGTTTACCAGCTTTTTTTTGTTGTTTTTTTAAGATTTTATTTATTCATGAGAGACACAGAGAGAGAGGCAGAGACACAGGCAGAGGGAGAAGCAGTCTTCCTACAGGGAGCCCGATGCAGGACTCAATCTGAACTCCAGGATCACGCCCTGAGCCAAAAGCAGAGCCCAACCACTTAGCCATCCAGGCATTCCCTGTTTACCAGCTTTACAGTCATTATACATGTGCCCTAGGCTTTAGAGAACCATCATCTGTCTCAGATTTAAAGTCCATATACTGAAAGTGTTTCAAAATGTACCTGCCAACAGTCAGCAAAACACATTCTGCCTTAAGATGTACATATAATTCAGCATTTGCCAAGCAATGGTTAACAGGATTTATTGTGGTCCAGCCTGTCCCTGTTCTGACCAGAGATGTGCTATTTGAAGGCAGGAAACAGATAAAAATACAAATTTAAAAGACTGGGTATTTTTCTAGGGTGGTTAGACTGGGGTTCTTAGCACATCCTTCCTCCTTCTCAGTCTCCCCCATCTGAAAGAGGAAGTGGACAATCTCTGAAGGCCACGTCTTCTCTCCCCTTCTGCCTTCCACCCGAGTCTCTACCACCATCATCGCCACCCCAACCACTTTTAGACAGGTTCCTGTTACACTGCTACTTCTGCTAAAAAAAAAAAAGAAAGAAAGAAAGAAAGAAAGAAAGAAGAAAGAAAGAAAGAAAGAAAGAAAGAAAGAAAAGTTATTTATAAGCTTAGAACAAAGTGATGGAAAATGAATAAATACATAAATTCATAGGTCCAAGTAGCCTTCTCATGTCCCTCTGCCTCTAGAGGAAAGCAGAAACCTGTACCTTGGGGATCCCTGGGTGGCTCAGCGGTTTAGCGTCTGCCTTTGGCCCAGGACTTGATCCTGGAGTACCAGGATCGAGACCCACGTTGGTCTCCCTGCATGGAGCCTGCTTCTCTCTCTGCCTGTGTCTCTGCCTCTGTGTGTGTGTGTCTCTCATGAATAAATAAATTAAAATCTTTAAAAAAAGAAAAAGAAACCTGTACCTCCTCCTCTTCCTTTGTTCTCCCCTACTTCTGGGCATTCTGACCTTTACCTAAACACTCCCACTTCTTTTTGATTTTTAAAGAAAATCAGGGATATAATAATGGTCACTTTTGAAAATGTGTAACATAAATCTTGAATTGTAAATATTTGTCAGATTTTATGTCCAAAGACTATAAAGGTGAACAATTTCCCTTCTCAGTATAACTTTTGAAGTGTTTAAAAGTTCTGAATGAATCACTAAAAAATAAGAGAACTCTTGAAAACCTCTGATAAGGCTGAGCATATGGGTATTCTGTTTATTATTATGCTTTTATCAAGTATGTTACATTCAGAAAACTATAATGGGTGATAAAAATGTCTATTGAGTCTAGCATCTTATGTCCTGGAGTTATTGCATGTTATGTGTTGAAGAATATTTTCCTGTTCTCCGGTCCAATTGTGTTTTCATTTACTTACTCAGTTTTTTCTGTGGGCCAGAGGGTCTGGGTGATCTCTAAGGCCCCTTACGACTCTAGATTCGTTTTGTACATATTAGTAACCTGGACTTGGTGCAGATGGGCTCGACATGATTTTGAGAGGAACATCAAATCAGTCAATATACCTGGCCTTCAGGCAGTAAGTCTCCTTGATTATTAGGCTCTCCTCATTCTGTGACCCTCCCTGATTAACTTGGCTTTCTCCAAACACTTCCCTCTCCTCAGCCCACCCCCAGGTTTGGGGGGTCCTGCCCACTGCCCCATTCTTTTTTTGTTGTTGTTGTTAATAGAGAAGAATGAGCCAGGAAAAAGGTTGGCTGGCACTGAGCTCACCACTTTGAGACCTCCCACAACCCTGAGCCAGCACCCAGTTTTGTTTACTGTATCCTGAGTATTTATACTGGTCACCAACAAGACAATTTTATTCTAGTAGTAAAATCAAGCTCAGCATGTAGAGGAGCCTTTGTAGTTTTGTTTTTCAGTATTTTCATTCATCATAGTAAAAAATGTTAGTAGGATGTGTTTCTCTAAGTATGATTGAGATGATCATGTTGAATTCTATACTCAAATCTGTATTTTTGATCCACTAACTTTGTTTTTCTGTTTTCCTTTCCTGCTCACACTTTGGACAGGACAATCTTTGTTCCCCTTCTGACATCCTTCAGCTAAACCTCAGCGTTAAGAGAACTGTTGAAACACTACTTTCTCTTGGGGCACATTCAGAAGAATCCAGTTTTGTCTCTCTGTCTCTCCAGCTTTTGGGTTTTGTGGCATTTTATTGTACTTTAATGTTAACTCTCTGTCTGCTGTATTACTGGGTCTTCTCCCTCTAGTTGAAAGATCATACTCCAAGGATTTTCCACACCATTCCTGTGCTTGGTAAAGGAGGTTTGTTTCTTCTTACAAAGGGTTTTTGGTTTTGTTTTGTTTGTTTTGTTTTGTTTTGTTTTGTTTTGTTTTCTGGCCGTCAAAGAGCTAACCAGTAAGGAAGATAAATCCTGTTCTCATGTCCAGCTCATCCCATTAGTAGACATTGATGATTGCTAACAAAGAGTAAAAGACCAGCATTTTTTTTCCTGGTCATTTGTCCATTCTCCTGGCCTGTGGCCTTGTTTCTCTTATCATAAGTTCTGAGGTGTCTTGATACAATCCTGAACCTGTTCTTAGAATATGACTTAGATTTTTATTTCTAAATGACATAATAAAATTCCCATGCGGCCATTTTTCCAACATCTTCAACAGGTGCTCTTAAGGCAAATAGTTGTACCCTTTCCGGTTGGGGAGGCACCTGGTCACTTATATCTCTTTTGAGCTGAGCCCTAAAATCCTGAAATCTCCCTGTATTGGTAGGCACAGGGCCACCTCAGCATTTACTGTCTGCACATCTGGAAGCTCGGGTCATATAATCTTAATAATTTTCATTTGATTCGAATATTCAGTCCAAAGATCAGTTAGCTTCCTTAGATTGCTATTCTGAGCCCAGTGTGTACATGTAAATTAGTCTACAACAAGCACATGATCTGGAGCTGACTGTTCAGGAGTAGGCACCTGTCCAGCTCTCCTCTGCTTGTTCTTATCATAGCTGAGCTTCACCTCTAGAATCCTGTTTAGACTTTAAAATTGAAATATATGTAATTTCCAATATACTTGAACCGTCTTAGTAGGTGAGCTGGCATTGAATTAGGCTGTTAAGTAGGTTATATCTGGACAGTAGCTGCAGGTAAAGTATCGGGCAGCAGTCTCTGTTCTTTACCCAAGGCAGTGAGTATTGTCAGAACGTTTAATAGTTAAGTTGCTAGCCTTGATGCTTGAAATTATTTTATGTTTGCATTCAGATTCTAGTTCTCATAAATAGGGTTTTTGAACATTCTGGAATCTACTGAACTCAAATATGAAGGGGAATTGCAGAGAACATAACCACCCTATTGTAGAAGTCAGCCTGAAGGTCTGATTGCTTTGGTTTTCTTCCGTATCAAATGGGACAATTATTTAACACCTTAAAAAACTATTTACTGTTAGTGCTGAAACAGTGAACACTGTGTTGAAAGCCAGTTTTATACAGTAGCACTACCTTCCAGACTTTGGGAGGTTTGCTTTGTTTTGATTTTAAGAGGTCTTGCATCAAAGATCATACAGTTTTGTGGTTTTGTCCCCTTAGGAAATAAAAAAAAAAATGTGGTCTTGTGTGTGGTTTGGGGAGGAGTAGTTGTACATTCTCTTCAGAGCACACGGCATTCCCTTGAAGCCTCCTGGAAGGTAAATGTGCATCTGGAAGGCATAAGCCTCAGTGGGGGCGAGGGGTGTCCAATCACACGCAGCACAGGGCACAATGGAGAAGAGATGAGGGAACTGGCTTCAGAGAAAATATGCCTCTCTCAAGACCAAAACACCCTGCAGGTTCATTTTAGAATAATTAATCTGTACTGACAGTGGCACTCAAAGTATTTATACAAAGTTGCTAGTTTTATAGTCAAAAGGTTGCAATTACCTTGTTTTATCAAGATAAGTATTAAAATTTTGAATAAGAGGCACAAGTACCAATAACTGTTCAAAATAAATGTTATATTTTTTATTGCAACTAATTTTGTAAAACTTCCTAATAATAAAGTGCCAATGAAAAGTCTAGTTATCTTCTTTAATAAACATGTATAGTCTACCTTTTAGTGAAATCAGAATTCTGTCTGTCCTTTGTGAACAGCGTCTATGTTTTCCAAATATTTAGTCTTAAAAGAAAAACCAGTGATAGGTGCTGTTCTTAAACACTGCCTTTTTCTCTTTCAAGATAGGATTAACCAAACATGAATGAGGCAAGCACAATAGAAGTATTTTAACTTCCTTAAGCAAACCTATAAACACCCTTCAAATATACGGTAATTAAGATGTCCCTGAATAAACTCGTATCTCTGTTCTCCAGCATAATTTAATCCATTAAGTACCAGGTTATGAAATACTTGTTTCTTCCTGTGTTCCCTGCCTGGGACGAGAACTCTGATTTTCAAAATCAGGAGTAGAATGCAGCTGGTGGGCCTCACTCCCTCGTGCAGCCTGACTTATGGCATGAATCCATCTTGCATTCCTCTGGTATGTAATTTCCAGAGCACACTCTCCTCCACTGTTAGACCTGTCAGGCCTGAGCCGTCTGGTAACTTGGAACCGCTTTTCTGTTTTCCCTGCCTCCTTTTACTGATCTGCATCACTCTTTATTTATTGGGGATGTTGCTTTTGCTCTCTCGTATTCTGTTATCCTCGGTTGTATGTATTAAGTGTCTGTAACTTGTCCATATTCCAGTTTTCAAAATGACCTGTATATGTCTTTGGTTTTAATAAAGTGACAGTGTCCAATGCCATCTCTGTGTAACTCCTATTAACAGAGGTCAGTTCCCCAGGTGCTGACCTGTCCTATCTCGGTTGACTGTTATGAGGGAGAAAAGAGATGCTTATTTTTTCTTTTCAGTTCGTTGATGTTGATCCTGTTTTCTCTTTTGTTTGTTTTTATGTTACGTTGTCCCATTTCAGGAGCAATTATGTTTGCCTCTGCACATTTTAGAAGAGAAAGGTTTGAGCCAGGTCGCAGTGACGGTGCAGGCTCTCCTGGAGCTTGCCCCACCCAAGCAGCAGCACCACTTGTCTGCTGCATAAGGACCCCCAGCACCTGGGCGCTGGCCCGGCCATCCCGGAGCAGGACAACGTGATTGCTGCTGCCAGCCATCTGCTTACACAAAGCTCTTACGTGTTCTTAAAAGGGACTGTTTCCATGATTCCTAACAGGAATATTTTGCTTCATTTCTCCATTTTAGGGGAGGTTATATCTGTTTCCAATGAATTGTTTTAGGAAGACATGGTTGGTTTTCGCAAATGAAACTTACTCTGTCATTACTGAGAACCCAACACTGAAGCCTAAACAGGCTGTGCTTTCTTAGATTGTCGGCTTGCCTCCCATACCAGAAAGAAATTTTCTCAGAAGGATATTTAGCTTTCTGGAAAGCACAGACATGCTATTGTCTTTACCTGTTTCCTGTTTCTGGAATCCACAGGTTACCAAAGCTGGTTGTTCATTAGAATCTCTTCTAATGAGCATTTCTTAAAATGTAGATTCTCATTCAGTAGGTCTAGAGTGAGGCCTGGGTATCTGCATTTTCGACAGAGTGAGATCACTTTCCCAAGCTGGGTATTTTTGTATGACATGGGGTGTAATGACCCCACTATGTTTGTCAGCCACATTTAAAGTCAAAAGCTATATTATGATTACTTGGGGTTATCTGTCCAAAGCAAAACAAATACAACATAGAAGGCCTAGATTTCTGCATAGTAAAGAAATGAGAGAGGTAAGTTGTATTTAAGGCCAGCATCCTAGGCCTCCCCCAACTTCTGTCTGCCACCACCTAAAGCTTGGTTCTCATATGTGACAGCCTGCTATTATCTAACCATTATAAACAAGCACTCTACACAGAGCTTCCAAATCCTTAGGATGGTAAATGCACTACTCTGCATTATTTGCATTGAGCCCTGCTCCGCTGCCCCCATGCTGCTCCCAGGTACCTGGACCTGTGAGTACCTTCCACTCACAGCAGATACACTTCCAGTTCCCTGACTAATGGAAGATTAGGAAAACAGGGCAAAAGGAATAAAAAGCAAAGCCAGGTTTCTTAATTTCTTTCAAGTAATTGCCAGTTTCCATGGCTGACTGAAGGCACTTGTGGCATCTTAGAAAACAGCATGATGTCTCTGTATCTAGTTCATCTGACCACCACTAGTGCCTTCCTCACTCAATCGTGGGCTGAGTAAGAAGGCCCAGGGGCTCCTGGAACACAAAGCCAGGAGCCTTTGTTCAAGTTTAAGCTACCAAGGTCTTTCTTACCCTATATTTTAAACCCCTTTGAGTTGTCAGCATATCTTTTGGTATTCACAGTCTTGATAAACCAAGTAAATAGAGTATGTGAAGATACCAGTTACCTGGGGTTTTTCAGGCTGTGAACTATTCTAGATTTTCTTTACCAATGCGTGCATTTCAGCAAAATGTTTTCTATCATGTAGATGCAACATCTAAAAGTAACTCGGTAAGATAATATTGACTATCTGGTCAAAGTAGTGTTTTCTCCCTGTTCTCACAGGGAGATAAGTTCAGCAGGACATTGTCACTTTGTCCAAGTTTAAAATTAAAGAACATAAAACACCTGGCCTCAGAGCCTACTAACCTTCACTGACTTTACAGAACAAAAGTAAAATGTCTTTCAAGTGCTTTGAGCCAGACCCCATTATATTTACAGTTCTAAACAGACCCACCAATCCAGCAACTTGTTTATTAAAATTCAGAAAAAAAATCAGCTATGTGCATTTCTAAACAATAGATCTTTCTCCTTCTAGTCAACATTGAACCTCAGTACAATTTCCAAATAATAGAAGCCATTTGAAGTGAAACTCAGCAAACAACAGGACTTTTTGTACCTATTACGCAAAGAATAATTCCAGAAAATGTGGACAGTGCAACATTTGGAACATTTGCAACTAATGATCCCATAGGAATAAATGGAAATTTCCACTTATTTCACATCTTACATATTACGTGAAACTTTATTAATGTATTTTTATCAAACTAATTCAAATTTATATTTGAATTACTAGAAAAAAATCTGTGTACAGTTTTGGTTGGTAACAAAAATATCAAATATATTGAATTTATTTTCTAAGTCAAGATGCAAAAACATCTCGTGATGCTTTTGCTAGAAAATTTTTGTATTCAGTGTTTGGTTTGTACCTTTTTTTTTTTTTTTTAAACTGGAAAGAAAACTTAACATTTAGCCTGGCTAGACTCCAGTGTAAGATGAAGATGCTGTAGTTGGTTCCACCTGACCATTAATGAAGCAGTGGCCAGCCCCGTGTGAAGTGTGAACCAGGAGGAGGCTGAGTGCCCACCCACCACGGCCCCTGGAGTCTGTAAGTCAGCAGGTTCTCTGGAAGTGGCTCGTGGGCGGAGGGGCCTTTGTGCAGCTAGAACAGGGTAGGGGGCTTATTAGTACGTCACTCTCTCTAACAGCTTCTTAAAATACAGCCTCACGGCTAATCAAGGAGTCTGATTTCTCTTACTTGCTACAGCTCAGCAGTGACTAATGGCGTGTGACTGCCGATGAGTATGACGAATTTTTAACAACTAAGTGCTTAAAATGGTGATAGAAATGAAGGAAAACATGGATATTTAGAAACCTTTATATATACGTATTGCAGTGAGATGGTTTACAGCAGATTTCATTTTATTTCTGAAAATGTTGTAAACATGTAATTAGTAAAAGATTTTGTAAAACATTGTCCCATATTTGTATGTCTGTAAATATAATGCATAAGTTCTAAGTATAAATATGTCAATATCATGTGTTATTTTAAATTGCCTGTATGCCACCTTACACGTTGACATTAAAATAAAAGCCTACACTTCAATCGCATGAAATAAAGGCTGATTTGAAAATGTTCATACCTAAAGCATGTTTTCCTTGGCAGATGTGAAAGGGTATTTATTTAGTTCCCCGAAGGAACATCAGTAGAAACTGGGTCCTCTGAACAGGCCCTTCAGATCACTTTTTGTTGTTGTTGTTGTTGTTTTTCACTCTTTTAAAGAAGTATAGATACCAGCTTTACCCTGTATTTGCAATTACATATAAGGCTTAATTTGTGAAATACATGTGACATATTTGGACACTCTTAGGAATTACCAACTATGTAAGACCTTCTGCCCTTCACACTTGTAATATCCTGCAAGGTGAGAATTGTTGAGGAAGCAAAGCAGGCGCATATCCTGGTGTCTCACTGATCAAAAACTCTCCAAGCTAGTCTTCTAGCAGCCTGTGTCCCCACCTTTACCATGCATGATTGTACATCCTAATGTTTCTGTTTATTCTAATTCATTATTTATTGTTTTAATTTATTACTTATATTCCTAGCTATTTCCCAGAAAAGGAGCTAAACCAACCTATTTATAATAAGATATGTATTCCATGCTCCCACCCACCCCCAACAAAAACTTATTAAAGTGATAATAAATCTAAAAGGCGGGAGGAGGGCCACCTGGAGGGCTCAGTCAGTTAAGCATCTGCCTTCTGCTCAGGTCATGATCTCAGGTCCTGGGATCAAGCCCCATGTCGGGCTCCCTGCGCAGTGGGGAGCCTGCTTCTCCTGCCTCTGTCCCTCCCCCTGCTCATGCTCTCTGTTTCTTTCTCTCTCAAATAAAATCTTAAATAAATGCAGGAAGGAACCAACCTTTGGAACTTTACTATATCCATATTATGCTAGACATATTACTAAATTATCTTGTAATAATTGTAATTCCGAATGAACACTTTACTTTTGGTTGAGAGTTTTTTTCACTATAGCCAAAAGAATCCAAAACATTACAGAAATTACTGAAGTTTTAATGCATCACAATAACTAAGCCCATGAACTTTCTTCTGGTGAGAAAAAGCAAGAGGGATCTTTGTAAGGCTCCTAGAAATACTTCTTCCCAGCAAAAGTTTTTCAAAATCTGAAGAAGCCCTAAGTCGATGATACACTCCTAAATCAGGGTTTGAAAACTAATACAACAGGCAAAGTGAAAGAACCAGGCAGTACCTGGGAATGTCCAATAAGAAACAACCTGTAGATACAAATTCTCTGTACTGCTAACATGTTTCTTCCTCCCTCCCTTCAAGTCCTCCTTCCCATCTCCAGAATACCAGAGGAAAAGACGAGAGAACTCCATCACTTTTTCTTGCCTCTCCGCTTGTCCTTGTCCTTGCCTTTACCTTTTGAATCCTTGACATCATCTTTGTCCTTCTTAGGCATTTTGAAACCACCAATTTCCCTCCTTACCATAGTGCCACGCCACCAGGCCTGGAGCTGGAAGAAAAAGGGATAAAAAATGTGTATGCCTGACAAGCTGCATCCTTTCTGCATGAGATAGTTGTTTTATCATAAAGTAACTTCTGTCTGAAGAATGGTGTCTGTCTGAAATGTGGAAGTGGCCAAGCATGCTCTCCCTACAGTAATGCTCCCCTGTGGTGCACGGACTCTACAGTGAAGCTCTCAAGGAGTAAACATAAAAAGAAGGAATCTGATTAGGAATCTTTACACTTAGAAACCTGGTTCCCTTCTATTACCCTACCTCTCTTTATGAACACCCAAGTTCCCCACATCTGACCCCGCCCAAAGGATGTGCAAGCTAGGCCACAGCAAAAGCCAGCACTCAAAAATGTACAGATAATTTAGATGACTTCATAGGTTTCCTTGTGCATTTCATGGCTTTAATGATTAAAGGATCAGTACTCTTTCAAAAAGGAATTCGATAAAAAAAAAAAAGGAATTCAATAGCTCTCTTAAATATCTTAGTCATTAGACACAACTGTTCTGAGTACAGTCTGGGCTGCTTTAAAATCAGACTAAGCTCTAACGACTGGGAGCACAGATCCATTAGTGAAAACAAAAATAGTCTTCAGCTAGTCCATACATCATTGCTCTAAATCAAGGAATTCTGCCAAATAGAAAACACCACAAATCTCAATAAATCCCTGCTAACTATACATCAGACTGTCTCCTAATGGAAAGCTCATGTTTGGGTTTGGATATCTGTACTGAATATACTTTCACGCTTTCTTAACTCACCTCATAATACACCTCACCAACTACTGTTTGCACACTAGGATCTCAGTAGACGCTCTTCTTTCAGAGAGAAAGGCAATCCTCTAAACAACAGTTTTGGTCCAGCTGATGTTATTTCTGCTTGAAAATACTTCCCAGAATCTGACTTACCAGTTTCAACTTCACTAATATACATGAGTTGATAAAAGATGTTTTTTTTCTAAACCGCTTACTTATTATTCTCTTCACCTTTTTTTGAAAACAGCTCTTATCAGAACCTAGCAGCTAGCCTGAGCTAACTTCTATAAATAGGACTTTAAGAAGCTCCTCCAGGGGCACCCAGCTGGCCCAGATGGTAGAGCACGTGACCTTGATTTTGGGGTGGTGAGCTCAAGCCCCACACTGGGTTGAGTTGACTTAAGAAAATAAATTTTTAAAAAGCAGCCTCAGCAGCAGCAGCTCCTCCAAGAGCTGTTTTGATTATAGATAGTACCTTAAATCTGGCCTCGGCACAAGTTCTAGGTCCTGCTTCCCCTGCTAGTCACCGTTTCCCCCAGATTCAGAGTTGGAGACGTGGCCCTTGCTATGTTAACTGTCTCCCTGCTCCAAGGACTGTAGATTAATTCCAACAATAGCAGAAGGCCATCCTTCCTTGAAGATCTCCTGTCCTGGGCTTCATAGGACAAGAGATGGACTCTGTTCCTTGGTAACTGTTAGCCCAGCTGTTATGTGCCCTAAGATGCCAGCTCTGGCCTTCTACCTTGATGATGCTCTTTAATTCCAAGTCCTCCTGTTCTATCTTCTTCCTGGTCTTCTCCTTTTCTGTCCGGTCTTCAATGATGACCTGTTCATACTCCCGTATCTACAGAGGTAGACACGGATCTGGGTTAGAAGACTGTCTTGGCAACGTGTGGCCCACCCAGCCCTGAACTTTTAATAGGAAATCTGAAAACAAAGCATGCCAAATAGAAACCAAAGAAAAAACTAAGTGGATTCCTACATTGTAAGTATTCATATTATTAATATGTGTTAGCTATAAAGAATTTGCAGGGATCCCTGGGTGGCGCAGCGGTTTGGCGCCTGCCTTTGGCCCAGGGCGCGATCCTGGAGACCCAGGATCGAATCCCACGTCGGGCTCCCGGTGCCTGGAGCCTGCTTCTCCTTCTGCCTATGTCTCTGCCTCTCTCTCTCTCTCTGTGACTATCATAAATAAATAAAAATTTTTAAAAAAAAAGAATTTGCAGTTTCAATCATTCAAATTTGCTATAAAAATAACTGCATAAAAATGAACTACTAACTTGTGTGATTAATGACCTGAAAGTAATATTTTTTTAACTTGTAGAAAGTACATGTACAAATAGCCATCTTTTAAAGGAGAAATTTAGTTTTAGTTATTCAATGATGAAGCCATAATCAGAAGCTTTTTAAAAATCATAATTTACAGATTATTTTCAGAGACCATAAAGTAGAAATAATAGCATCTATCTCAAGAGGTTGTTGTCAGGGTTAAATAAGTTCTTTATGTGGAATGCTAGCAAAGTGCCTGGGACAGAACAAGCACCATGGAAGTGTGTCGGTTGCTGCTATTACTGCCCCATCATTGATGTCATCATCATCATGGGAAGACTGTCAGTGGTTTCCAGGCACACCTCCTCCTTGCCACCAGAATAGCATTACCCAGCTACTACAGCTCAGCTACCACCCATTCCTCAGACTGCTTCCTTACCGTCTTTGCAAGCTCTTGAAGGTGTGCTAAGTCGCTGGCCTTAGCAGATTTGAGAGCATTTAGTTCATTCTGTTTCATTTCTGTGTCCTTATCAAATTTCTCCATCCAGAACTCTAGTTTCTCCTCAAGTTTCTGTTTGGAAAGTACATTAAAACATGGGTTCCACCAGACACAAAACTTTATGTACTGTATGAAATCATTTACATAAGGCTTGAGAACAAACAAAACTTTTCTATAGTGATAAACCTCAGAATCGTAGCTACCTCAAGGGGGTGGGCTGCTTGATTTGATCAGGAAGGGGTATGAGGAAGACTTCTAGGATGCTGTAAATGTGTTCTACATCTCCATCTGGGTAGTGATTATAGGAGTATATAGGCAAATGTTAAACTATATGCCTAATATTTATATACTTAATATTATTACTCAATTTAAAAACGGGGAAGAGGGCCTTCTAGGTGTCTGGATTAGGGAAGTTTGAAAGGAATAATGGGTAAGAAAATTCTGAAGGATAAAGAATGACATCAGACATTGCTTTGATTATTAATAGTAAATACCAGTTGAGAAGGGAACAATGTCTTTGAAATCCTAAAAAGTAATAAATGTGAATCTAAGATTCTATATTTAGCTAAACCTACCATTCAAATGGGAGAGAAAGAATATACCTGGTCTTTCGAAGAGTTACTCAAGAGTGTATTTTAACAAAGTAAAATGAAAGAGATAATATGTATGAGAAACAATTAAATGTATAGTTGAGCTACATAATAGACTTTTTAAAAATAAATCATAATCTGGAACTGAAATCCCAAATTAGACAGGATAGTCTCATGGAAAAGCACAGACAGGCTCTAAAGGCAGAATGCCTAGGTACAGCTCCCAACTCTGGCACTCAATTTAAGTGAACTTAAGTTCTCTAAACCTCCATCCCCTCATTTATAAAATGGAAATAAATAACAAATGGTTTCAACATAGGACATAGGAGAAGAGAAGAGGTAAGTGAAAGCTCTACTTTAATGGCCAAAAGATGTAGATACTGACTCTACAGACTTCTAGAGGAAGAACAAAGTATAAATACATATGTTAAAATGTCAAAGGTTACCACTCCAAGAACATAATGCATGACTTCCAAACTCCTAGATCATGTACCTCAAGAATGAGACATCAAGAAGAGACATCAAAATTCCATTGACATGGAATTTTTTAAAAATGTGATTCAATTCATCATTCTAAGTTAAAGAGAACATACCAGTTTAGTGCAATCACATCTAACACCTTTCTAACTCATTAGCATGTTTTTTTTTCTTTTCTTAACAAAAAGAGAACAGCTTCCAGGCAGGCAAGAAGACCTGACTAAAATGTAATAACATCATTTGGTATTTGCTGAACTTCTATTTATATTAATTTCTACTTATGGCAAATGATACTTTTCTTTTTTTCTTTTACAGGTTTTTCTTTTACAGTAATGATATAAAAATCTTAATTTTGTTGTCTAGGTAATTATGTATGAAATAGGAATAACGATGTGGTATGCAGATATTACAAAACTGAAAGTGGTATGCAAATAACGAGTTTGCACTAGAGAGCAAGAAATCGAACAATAAAAAGAAGAAAAAAAACAACTAGAAAGCTTGAAAAGCAGGAAACAAAATAAGGTGGAAGAAGTAAGTATAAACAAATGAAAATCACAATAAAAATAAATTGAGATAAATTTCCCTATCAAAATAGCCTCAGATTTAAAAAAAAATCAACCTATGAACTATTTATAAAAACCATAGCTAAAACAATATAATCAAAGCAAAAAGAAAGCAGGGTTGGTAATTAATATCTGGCAAAATAGAATTCAAGACAAAAATAATTGAGACAAAAAGGAATATTTTATCCTGAGAAAAGACATGCTCTATTATAAGGATATTGCAGTTATAAAGTTTTATATTCTAATGCCATTTTGGAATATATAAAGTAAAAACTATTAGAAATACAAGAAATTGACAGATCCACAATCTATCACACTTCTCTAAATAAATAGGTCAAGAAGAGCAAAGTAAATAATATGAAGAATTTGACAGACTGTTAGACATTTATACAAATTTGTATCCAATAGAGAATACACATTTTTTTTTTCAAATACCCGTGGAATAGTCACATAACACAAGCAAAGGGCTCAACAAATTCCAACGAGCTAACCCTTACGTTGTCACATTCTGAGACCGTGGTGGAAGACTGTAAGAGTGTAGATCTCAAAGGGTTGTCAGCGATAGAAAGCCTCACACTCCCTCTCCAACTCCAACTTCCTGGACATTTAAGAAATACGCTTTTATTTTTTTTAAAGATTTTATTTATTCATGAGATACACAGAGAGATGGAGAGAGAGGCAGAGACACAGGCAGAGGGAGAAGCAGGCTCCATGCAGGGAGCCCAATGTGGGACTCGATCCAGGGACTCCAGGATAATGCCCTGGGCCAAAGGCAGGCGCTAAACCGCTGAGCCACCCAGGGATCCCCAAGAAATACGCTTTTAAGCAACTCATAGGCTAAGGAAATATCAAATTATAAACTACAAATTATAATGTTTAATTTATCAAAAGGCATGAAAAAGGTAAGATGGGTTAATGGATGAAGGATACATAGAAATGCGATAAAGCAAGAATAAAAATATGTTGTTAGTAGAATGTACCAGTAGATGGTGGATATATGGGTGTTCACTATAAAATTCTTCCAACTCTGTGTATGTTTGGAAACACTCCTAATAGAATGTTGAGAGAAAAATAAATTAGAAATTATTTGGAAAGGAGTGACAATTACAGCCTAGTTCTTTTGCCAGCTGACACAATGATCACCTTTGTCAGTAGAGGGCACTGGAGGGACACGAGAGGAAAGCTCTGCTCAGTCCAGTGTCCTTCCTCTTTTGTTCCTGGGGTGCGGCTGACAGTGGCATGTGTGTGGGACACTTGTGCCACTTATTTACCAACAAGTTTTGTTGACACAACGGGAGGATTCTTGCTTACCAGAGTCCACAGTTCCCAGTGTGCCATCTTTATCCCACTAGCTGTGAACCTGCTCTGACCCAGGGCAATGAGGCAAACATCGGTTTATCCCTTCCTTGGATACATCCTTCAACCTGAGGATATTCCTTAGAGTTCTCTTTCATCCTTTTGTTTGTTTGTTTGTTTGTTAATGATTCTTTTGTTAAATGTTGCCTGCTGAAACTACTGGTGTGTTTTCTGTCACCCAACTGAACCATGATTCAAAACTGGTACCAAAAATAGCTCCTCTCCCACCTTCTCATATGTTTTACTAAGGCATCCAAGGTCCTTGCTACATCCTGTTCACTAGATACAATCAACATAATGCAATGGACCACTACCATGTTTTGTAGAAAGTCAAAGTAAGCAATGTCTCTTCAGACTGTATTATGGCAGAGAACAGGAGGATTGACGCAGCCCTGATGTGAGCCCATGAGAGTATATTGTTGGCCCTGCCAGGTAAAAGCAAACTGTTTCGGGAGGTTTTTCCAAACCAGTTTGGAGACACTGGCTATGGTCAGAGGGAGGTTAATAGCTGCCTACCAAGTGCCAGTGGCCTTTGAAGAATTACTCCAGTCAAGATACCACATCTGGAACTGTAGCTGCAACTGAAGTCATCACCTGATTACATTTACAGTAGTCCACAGTCACTACCCATTCAGCTGGCCACTCAGCTGAGTTAAATGGGGCTGTGATAAGTATCACAACCTCTGCTTATTGTTGTTGTTATTGTTGTTGGCACTAATTGCTGCAGCTGCAGCTGGGGTGCAGCATTTGCTTATGATTTACTATGTTGGTTGGAAGGGGAAGTTCCAGAGACTTCTACTTGACCCTTACTACCATAATGGCCCTCACTCCATAGGTCAGAGAGCCAATGTGGAAAGTCTTTTGCCAAGTACATCTATTCCAATTATATGTCCATATGTAATATATGGGAAACAACTATAGGGTGGATCCATAGAACGAGTGGGCCCAGAGTAAATCAGACTTAAGACTCCATCTATCACCTGAGCAGTATAATCCCTCATTTTGAGTAGGGACCACAATGTTGTTTTGGGTCCCCAGGAGGCAGTATCAATTTAGAGCCAATGTTTAGTAATCTGAAAAAGTCTGTTTTCCGGTGTATAGTAATTCCAATAAATAGCCACACGTCCCTCTGAGTAGGCTTAGAGGAAGATTCACAGTATCTACCTGCAGTAATACTGCAGAGTTCATCCTCAGGGGGACCTGGCCCTTTCAATTAAGGGACTTTGGTCTTTGAATTGACTTAGTTCTGGAAATTGGAGGAGAAGCCATGACTCCTCATTGTGGTGAATCAAATCAGGGCTTTGGTACTAGATTTGGACTTTCTTCTGTTATATACATCAAGTGATTCTTTATCAGGCTGCTCATCAATTTTGTTCAGAGGAGTACCATGGTTAATCAGCCATCACCAAATACCCTTCATGGGCAAAGGCATTCTGATTTCCAGTGCATGCAGGCTGCCCTTCATGGTAAATGTGGTCACCCGTCTTTGGCAGTCAAGTGCTGCCATATATTCTCTGGTTCTCCAGGATCTCATTATCAGCATTTCAATGGTGATATCACCCATGATCTTACCTGGCCTACAAAAGAAAGCAAGCAAAGACCTTTTCAAGGATATGGGTGCTCCCCTCATTAATGTATTTCTCAATGTCTTAGTATAGGAGTGTCTTCTGGGAAGAAATGTCTCAGAGAAACTCATTACATATAGGTACTCAATGGCATATTTGTAGGTCACACAAATTCACTCTGATATTCCTATTTTCCTAAGTCTTTGGATTCTCTCCTCCAAATCAAAGCAGGGAAGCTCTGACATATACACCTCATTAAATGTGGGCCACTGTTGAATTGTTGAGTCCAAGTTTCAAGTGAACTATTAGCCACCTCCAGCTTCACAAGCTATCACATCGAATCTCTAGTAAGTATACCCTTATCAATGAACGTGATTCAATCTAGTGTTATATTCCATCCTCATCGCTCTAATACCCTTAGAATCCATCCCCACACATGTCTCCCAATTACAAGCAAAGTCTTGTAATTCTGTAGGTTTGCAAGCTATTTCCCTCTTAATTACAGTTATCTGAGTTATCTGTACCCTGGAACTTGCTGAGATTTGACTCTAGTTATAGAACCAGGGGCAATAGGAGTGATTGTGCTGGGTCTTCAGAGTGAGCATCTGATTCAGATGAAATTATTACTATGGCATTTTCAGAGAAAGAAAGGCTAATCTCTTCAGACCCTGGAAGGCATAATACTTCCACTGGCAAGGGAAATTCAGAGTTACTTGGGAGTTCAAGATTATTAATTGCTTCTGAATCCATTGAGATATTCCTATTCCAAGTTTCAGGGTCCTATTATTTCCCAATGAGTGACCTAATTTGCACATGAGAAACTTGGCATTACTATGAATTCCTCTGTAATACTGACTAAAATACCATTAAAACCAATAATTGAAAAATGGTGCCCCATTACCACTGCTACTAATCAACATTACACTTGACACTCAAGCTATACAATTAGCCACAAAATGGAAATAAACATATAAATAACAAAAAGGAAAATATAAAATTATTCTTTGCTGTCAATAAATTTTTTTTAAGATTTTATTTATTTATTCATGAAAGAGAGAGAGGCAGAGACACAGGCAGAGGGAGAAGCAAGCTCCATGCAGGGAGCCCAACGTGGGACTAGATCCCAGGACCCCAGGACCACGCCCTGGACCAAAGGCAGGCGTTAAACCACTGAGCCACCCAGGTATCCCCCTACCCTTTTTTAAAATATTTTATTTTCAATAAGATTTTCTATCTTCAATCTAGAAAATCTAAATGAATTAACTGAAAAGCCATTAAAACTAATATGAGGGGACATAAGGATCTACACTGATATGTAAAAATGAATAGCCTTTCCGTATACTATGCATTTAGAGACATATCTCAAAATGTTTAGCATTAAAAAAAATGTTTAGCATTGTTATACTAGCAAATCTTGGAAACAAACTGAAAGTCCACTGGCAGAAGAATAGTTAACTAAATCTTGGTATATCTCCTCTATGGGATATTCTGTAGTAGTTGTTCTGCCATAGAAAACATAAGATAAAGTAAATTAAGAAAAAAAAAGTGGGGACGCCTGGTGGCTCAGCAGTTGAGCATCTGTCTTCAGCTCAGGGCGTGATCCTGGAGTCCCAGGGTCAAGTCCCATATTGGGCTTCCTGTGAGGGGCCTGCATATCCCTCTGCCTGCGTCTCTGCCTTTCTCTGTATGTGTGTCTCTCATGAATAAATAAATAAGGTCTTAAAAGAAAAAAAAGTGTCTGGAACAAAATATATAGTATGATCATGTTTATGTCACAAATATAAATAAATAGACATAGATGGATAGATAAATACTAAAAAAAGTAAGTACTTTGTACATACAAAAGTACATATATCAAAAAAATATGTGGAAGAAATTTTGGAACATTTTGGAGTAATTAAGAAAGCTTTCACTTTTCACTTTTTAAAATCTATGAATTTCTGTGCTGTTTCAAATTTCTCACTGAAAAGTATTTCTGTATTGCTTGTGTTACTGGGCTGAAGATCTAGGAAACACTGACTTTATCCATCCATTGTCCATTTATCCACCAACTCATCTGATTGTTATTAAACACCTGCTAATTATGTGTCTAACACTTGAATAGGTAACATGGTACATAATCCCTAAATTGCCAGGATAGAAGTCTCTGTTCCTAATAGCCTACCAGATTTATTTTTTTCAGTAAAGTCCTGTGAGATAGAATCTATAAATTATTTTCTTTAACCATAAACTTGGAATTGTTTACTGAAAATTCAGTAGCCTTCTCAAAGGTAGACTGAATCATAAGCTGGACATTTTTTTCCTTATTCATTTAACAGGGATTTTTTTAAATTCCATTCAGCTTGGTTTGTCATTAGTATTTGAAATAAATTAAAACATTTCAGTCACATATGATTCACACAAGAAGAAATAAGATAAATAAATATATAGAAATGGTCAATTTTTCAATTCTATTAGCAAAAAAACAAAAAGGCAAAATAAAACAACTCATTAAATGAGCACCTTAAAATAACTAAAATGCCTAGAATGGTTGATGGTACCTTGAAATAAGTGTCAGCAATTTACATTGTTGATGCTAGTGTAGATTAGAAAGTATTAGTAATATTTATCAAGTCACAAAATACCATTCTCTCTGACATAATACTGTCATGTTTCAGATTTATTTTTGGTAAATAACTACAGTGAAGGAAAACAGTTTTTTGGCAAAGCTTTCATTACTGCATTATTTATAATAATGAAACCTTGGAAATAATCTAAATATCCAAAATAAAGGGTAACAAGTCAACTAAGACATGACCATTCAATAGAACATAAAGCTATTTTAAATTATTTTTTTATTTTAAATTATTTTTATGAGACACTATAATAACATGAAAAAAATGAGGCAAAAAGCAACTGACAAAAAAAAAAACTTCCCTCAACTAAGAGTATGTTATTTTAATAATTTTAAGAATCAGTAAATTTTAATTTAAAATTATGACTATGAGGAATATAGGAGCAAGAAAAGTTTGTTATATAATGGTAGCTGATAAAGGCAGAAGACAAAATTTTACCTGTGCTCAAATTACAGCTTTATAAAGTGTTCATTCAGATGAGTAACTGTGAGACAAGACATGGTCTAAAGCTCATTCATTAGGCCAGTAAAATTCTGGTTGATTTTTTTTTTCAGATTGTATTTATTTATTCATGAGAAACAGAGAGAGAGGGGCAGACACACAGGCAGAGCAGAGGCAGAAGCAGGCTCCATGCAGGAAGCCTGATGTGGGACTTGATCCAGGGTCTCCAGGATCACGCCCTGGGCTGCAGTCGGCGCTAAACCGCTGCGCCATCAGGGCTGCCCTGATTCTTTTATCCCTCAAATAATTTATTTCCTTAAAAACAATTTTTTTTGCCATACATGGTATTTTGGTTTTTTTTTTTATTTTTATTTATTTATGATAGTCACAGAGAGAGAGAGAGAGAGAGAAGCAGAGACATAGGCAGAGGGAGAAGCAGGCTCCATGCACCAGGAGCCCGACGTGGGATTCGATCCCGGGTCTCCAGGATCACACCCTGGACCAAAGGCAGGTGCCAAACCGCTGCACCACCCGGGGATCCCAATACATGGTATTTTGTAAGTGGATGACAAACCCATCAGAGTGTAAAAAAGTTTGGGTGACCCACCTGCTGCTCCTTCTTAAGGAACGTTTCAATCTCCATATGAATCCTGTTCTCTTCTTCGGTTTTCAACCTCAGTTTCTGTTAAAACGATAAATATCAGGAATTCCTGCCAGCAGGGTTCAGAATGAGAAGTTCTCAAGATTAGAGGTGTAGCTATCACAGTGTCTCAGGCTGGCTGGCTGGCTGCTTTCCTTATTTCTTTTTGGTTAAGATTTTATTAACCTTCAGGTAAGGTCATGATCCCAAAGTCCCAGGATTGAGTCCCACATTGGGCTCCCTGCAGGGAGCCTGCTTCTCCTCCCTCTGCCTGGGTCTCTGCCTCTGTGTCTCTCATGAATAAATAAATAAAATCTTTTAAAAAAATTTATTAGAGAGAGAGAAAATGAGAGATGGAGCCCAAGCAGGGGGAGTAGCAGAGCTAGAGGGAGAAGCAGACTCCCTGCTAAGCAGGGAACCCCCACGTGGGGCTCGATCCCAGGACCTAAGATCATGACCTGAGCCAAAGGCAGACGCTTAACTGACTGAACCACCCAGGCGCGCCTCAGATTTTCTTTACCAGCTGGGATCCCAAGAATCCTGTTGTATTGCACTAGGGTGGCAAATCAATTCCCTTCCACCCAGTTCCTGTTCACAAACATCACTGAGCCATGTGTCGGGCATTGTGCTGGACACATGCCAGAGCCCAGGACAAAAGGACCATGATTTGCTGGCCTGGATAGGGAGAGAAACAATGTTTCAAGGGCGCACCGTTCTTAGGCCTCGAAAAGGAAATCCCAGGATACAAGAAAGGTTTGTAGTCCGAGTCCTACGCCATACCTGGGGAGTAAGCTTTCCACTAAGTAGGGGCCCAAAGAAAGCAGTCCTCCTGCACACAGATGGCACTTCCCATGTTTGCTCCCTCTCACCAACCCGTTGTTCATTTAGCCATTTTAGCCTTCCTTTTCTAAGGAGGGTCTACCCCTTTTGTCTTTTCCACTGTGACTTCTCATCTTTATAAATTTAGGTCTGAATGAAGTTCAGCTCTCTTGACTTTGTATTTCTTACTGGAGGTACAAAAGGTACTGGTGGGGTGAGGAAGGCAGCAGCAAAACCCACACTTAATAAGTATCTTGGGGGATCCCTGGGTGGTGCAGCGGTTTGGCGCCTGCCTTTGGCCCAGGGCGTGATCCTGGAGACCCGGGATCAAGTCCCACGTCGGGCTCCCTGTGCATGGAGCCTGCTTCTCCCTCTGCCTGTGTCTCTGCCTCTCTCTCTCTCTCTCTGTGACAATCATAAAAAAAAAAAAAAAAAATTAAAATAAAAAAAAGTATCTTGTTTCGCCCTAATTACTAGGAAAAATGGCAAGTGGTTTTATAAAATACAGATAAAGTGACCAAAGAAATAAAGTACAACTGAAAATAAATAAAATATTTTAAAAGGGGGGGGCAGGGAACGCCTGGGTGGCTCAGTGGTTGAGCATCTGCCTTCCGCTCAGGGACTGATACCAGAGTCTCAGGATCGAGTCCCAGATTGGGGTCCCCGCAAAAAGCCCGTGACTCCCTCTGCCTATGTCTCTACCTCTCTCTGTGTGTCTCTCGTGGATAAAAGTGGATAAATAAATAAAATCTTAAGAAAAAAAGAAAGTACAATTGATTTTCGAACTCATTACAAAAAGATGTAGGCTACAGCCCATCAGAATCTCTGCCTGCAAATACACCAGACCTTCTTTTGTTTTTATTTCTAATCTCAAATGTGAGAGTTGCAGGAGAGATGGAGCAGAGATCAAGAAAATCTCCTCTTCCTCCCTCCTCTGTCAGTTGAGGCAGATGAAGAGTGAAAGCCCACATGCCATGCACCATGCTCGTGCCAAATGCAGTGATTACCTCTATCTCCTCCAGCAAGAGCTCCTCGGTTCTGTTACATTTCTTCTGGGTCTGGGAGATCTGCAGGTCAGTGTTTCTCTTCATATAGCGATTTTCCATGTTGGTTTTTGCCTTCATCTCTTGCAACTGGTCCTTGAGGTGAGCAACATATTCATTCTGACTCTGTAGAGGTAAGTCCAGTTTTCTAAATTAAAATACGTTCAGGTGGCACCTGGGTGGCTCAGTCGGTTGGGCATCCAACTCTTGATTTCAGGTCAGGTCATGATCTCAGGGCGGTGAGATGGAGCCTGGCATCAGGCTCCCCACTCTGCGGGGAGTCTGCCTAAAACTCTCTCTCCCTCTCCCTTTCCCTCTGCCTCTCCTCTAAAATGAATACATCTTTTTAAAAAATAACAAAATAAATAAAATACATTCTACCTCCATTCAGTTCAGCCAATGACTGAAGCCTACCTTTTGTATCTATAAATCAACAAGAAACTGAATCTATTTTTCTGTTTCTGCACTGTAGGAAACTTAGCCAATAATCATGGATAGTATAGATGAAAATGAAGGAGTAGTTCTAAGCATCAGGAATGGGAGATTCTTTCCTAGGTGCACTATCTGGGTCATCTGTATGCACAAAGATTTCCCATTACTACTTCATTTTGGTAGAAAGAGCACTGGTCTAAATGATCAAGAGTATCAGGTGTCTTCCCACCCAAGCCCCCAACAGCTGTATTAGCCAAGTCAGTTAAATCTCTAAGTCTTACCTTCACTACTATCTGCCCTGCCTGGAATATCTCAGCAAGTGATTATAAGGAATTAATTGAGAGTAAGTGAAAATCCTTGGCAGGTCACAAAGTGCTTGGCAATTTTAAGGTTTCAATATTCATCAAAAAAATATTCATTTTGTACCATACTAAGTTAAACAGTGGAGACCTAATAGACATGGTCCTTGCCCCCACAGAGCTTACGATCTAGCAAAAAGCCTTTTCTAGAAAATTGACAAAGTCAAACCTTTTGGAGCGCCTGGCTGGATCAGTCAGTGGAATGTCTGGATCTCAGGATTATGAGTTTGAGCTCACATTGGGTGCAGAAATTACTTAAAGATAACACCTTAGGTGGTACCTGGGTGGCTCAGGGAGTTGGGCAGCCGATTCTTGATTTCAGCTCAGGTCATGATCTTGGGGGTCGTGGGATCAGCCTTGTGTTGGGGGCGGGAGGGGGGGACCTGCATGGCAGGGAGTCTGCTTCAGGATTCTCTCTCCCTCTGCCCTTCTTTCACCCCACACCCAGCTTGTTCTCTTTCTCGGTCTCTCAAATCAATCAATCTTTAAAAAATAAACAAAACCTTAAAAAAGAAAAAAGCAAGCTTTTTTTTTTTTTAAAAAAGATTGGATTTATTCCTGAGAGACAGAGAGAGAGAGAGAGAGAGAGAGAGAGAGAGAGGGGCAGAGACACAGACAGAGGGAGAAGCAGGATCCCTGAAGGGAGCCGACTCGGGTCTCTATCCCCGGACCCCGAGGTCATGCCCTGGGGGCAAAGCACAAGCTCAACCGCTGAGCCCCTCCCCCCCTGCCCTGCGCCCCGGGCGTCCCGCACACCTTTCTTTAGAGATGCAAAGCACTGCTAACGACCAGGACCACAGGCCCATCGCAGGGTAACAGGTGGTGCCCTCCTCTGATGGGGCGAGAGGAGGATTTCCTGAGGAAGGAACTTTGGGTCTGGCGCCTAAGCGGTGAGTATGCAGGTAATACGCAAAGTGGGGCCAAGGAGGAGTCTAGGGAAGAGGAAAAATACGGGTCCAAGTCGTGAGGCCGCAGAGGGCTGGGCATTCTCCGGGCCCGAGCAGACAGGCAGGGAGGCGGCGCCCCGGGCCCCGCAGCAGGTGCATCGCGCGGGCCGGACACAGCGGCCCACACCTGTGCGCCGGTGGGGGGTTTGTTTGTCTTTTTTTATAAATACTTTACCTTTATTTATTTATTTATTTATTTATTTATTTATTTATTTATTTATTTATTTATTTATTTATTTATTTACATAGAAGTTGTTTGGTGGTGGATATATGGCCATTTGATGTTTTATGATTTAAGAGTTCGAGTTCAGGTCCTCTTTCTTACAGAATGTAAATGTGCACCTACACATGTATATGCAACTATTGTCAGAATTAAGCCAGGCGGGCTTAGCGCTAAGCATCAGGGGCGGAGACGGAGTACAAATCGGTCAAGATCCTCCCGGGGAGGGTGGCCTAGGTGGCCCAGTGGTTAGCGCCGCCTGCAGCCCAGGGTGTGACCCCGGGGTCCCGGGATAGAGACCTGTGTCGGGCTCCCTGCGTGGAGCCTGCTTCTCCCTCTGCCTGTGTCTCTGCCTCTCTTTCTCTCTCTGTCTCTCTGGGATCTTTAAATATATATATATTAAAAAATAAAAAAGATCATCCACAGTGAAAAGCGAACATGGTTAGATAGAGGCCCACAGGCCCAATTCGTCTTGACGGACTTGGGGTTACCGCGGAGTCGCCCCATCATGCCGTGCCCCGCACAGCCACAGGTCCCGGTGGTAACACGGGGCAGTCTGTCTTCACCTGCTACAGGCTGCAGGCTTGTGTGTGATGTATTTAACCCAAGACTCTTAATAGTAAAATCCTGCCAGCGCTTCTCACAAGCCAAAAAATGTGCATTAAACTCATTTTTAGAGGGGTCTTTTGGGGCTCACTTTTGCTCCTTCCTTTTCTCTACACTTCCCTTTCCCGTCTCTTGCCATTTTGCTTCTCTGCTCCCTTCTACTTCAAGCTGTAAGGCGGTCGGCGACCAAGTCTGGAGTTTTGGAAGGCTTCAGTTAGGGATCCCTGAGTGGCGCAGCGGTTTGGCGCCTGCTTTTCGCTCAGGGCGCGAATCCTGGAGACCCGGGATCGAATCCCACGTTGGGCTCCCGGTGCATGGGGCCTGCTTCTCCCTCTGCCTGTGTCTCTGCCCCGCCCCCTCTGTTTGTGACTATCATAAATAAATAAAATTTTTTTTTTTAAAAAAAAGGAAGGCTTCAGTTAGAGTGGAATGGGATGGCTTCCCTTCCTCACTGGCTGGAATCTGTACACCTGCTTAACCACTCAGTCTTTCTTTGAGGCCCTGCTTATATATCACTTATGTCCAGAAAGCCTTTTCTAGAAAACCTCAGCCCATATAAATAATCATGATTTTGTTTCTCACAGAACCTGAACATGTGGAACAGTTAGGTATTCATTAAATAGCATCCATACAAAGATACACTTTCAAAAACTCAAGAAAACGTTCTGGTCAGTTGTCTTTTTCAAGCTGAATATTAAGTCTTTCAGAGTATAAATACAAAGATCAGAAATGCAGAGTTAAAACTCTAGGAGTTTCTGCCTATGGCAAGCAAAAGGTGCTGCATTATATAACTTAGTAAGGTCATTTGACATTGGTCTACAGCTGCCCTGTGCCAAGCCAAAGGCATCTGGTTTTGTGCCGTCGTCATGCACCTCAGATTATTCCCTCCTGTACTGCTGTTCGGCACAACTTGTGGCCTCCTGTGGTGACCATGTGGGAACAGAAGAAGATGTAAAATATGGACAGACTAGTGATAGTCAAATCCCGATCAAAGCATACCAGATGCACTGCAGCGTCACCCCGGATCTTCACCCGTAGTATACAAAAGAGAGGCGGCCTACAAGCAGTGGGGTACGGGCCCAGGGTCGTTGTCCGTTGTATGAACTCCTTTTAAGTTGCTCCCTAAGAAAAGATCTGTCTTCACCACAACCCACCAGCATAACCCTGCTTGTCCAGGGTGTCTGCAACCTTCCCCGTGATCAAGGTCTGTGGACTGAGGCAGCATATTTGTGGGTTTTCGTAGCAGAGCAAACTTTACTTACAAATCCTCAAACTGCCTTCAGATCTGTACTTGTTATTTGAATTCAGAGGAACAGGATTTAGTAATGGAAACAAGCAGTCAACCAATTATAGTTAATAAGGCTCTGATGGCTGCCACAAAAGTGTGAGCCAAAGAATTTTAATGCTAGTGTCCATTTTCATAATTGAACACAAAGTTGAGATGAGAGTTTGATTGGATGGAAAAAGGAAAATGGGAATGTGATCTATTAAAGTAAAAAGAGCCACAGAAAAACAAAACAATTCTGTATGAAGTTAACATCTGTATTTGTCTCTGTCTGACTAAGAATACTGGCTGATTCTGGAACGGTCTCCCAATACACTCTGAGCTACAGAGTCACCCCTTCTAAGATGCAGATGAAACACAGTCACGTCCAAACTTCTAAAGTTTCAGGCCCCTGGGATCCCTGGGTGGCGCAGCGGTTTGGCGCCTGCCTTTGGCCCAGGGCACGATCCTGGAGACCCCGGATCGAATCCCACATCGGGCTCCCGGTGCATGGAGCCTGCTTCTCCTTCTGCCTATGTCTCTGCCTCTCTCTCTTTCTCTCTCTGTGACTATCATAAATAAATAAAAAAATTAATAAAAAAAATAAAGTTTCAGGCCCCAATTCCACCCATTACTTCATTTCCACTTGAACTATTCCCATTTCAATTGTACCAATTTCTTTTCTTTCCTTTTGTAATAAAGTTTCCATATACCTCACTATCTTGACTGATCTCTTCTGAGTAAACTCCTTTAAATGTAATGCCTAACACTATACACAATATTATAAATGTCTAAGTGCAACAGAGGACAGGGGAGTATTTTTTCCCCTGTTGTATAAACAGGGCCGCAAACTATAGTAATCAAAACAAAGAGGTGCTTCAAATGCTTTTCACAAGACTATGTGGTCATGATTGTCAGGGTCCTGATTGTGACTCAGTAGAAGCAGCACTGCAAAAGGAAGACTCTAGGATATCTACAGAAGATGGGAAGGCAGGTACCTTTTAAAAATGCTATTACTAAATTTTTTTTTAAAGATTTTTAAAATGCTATTACTATGGGGCACCTGGGTGGGTCAGTTGGTTAAATGTCTTACTTTGGCTTAGGTCATGATCCCAGGGCCCTGGGATGGGACTCCACACTCATTGGGGAATCTGCTTGTCCCTCTGGCCCCACCTCCTGCTTTGCTCTCTCTCCTCTCTTTCTCTCTCTCACACATATACAAATAAAATCTTTTTTAAAAAAATGCTATTATGGGCAGCCCAGGTGGCTCAGCGGTTTAGCGCTCCCTTCGGCCCAGG